TGGGACCTTTTAAATTATTAACAACAGCAATATAATAATGATCACATTAATAATAATTTAAATTATAATAGTCTAATATTAAAATTTATAATAATAGCCAGAACTGTAATATAAATGGTCCCTGAAGTTAGAGTCGAAAACTTAGCTTAGCGTCGACGCTAACTTTGGGGACCTTTTAAATTATGAACAATAATAGTAATTTAAATTATAAATTTATAATATTGTCTAAAACTAAAATTTATAATAATAGGTGAGACTATAATAGAAAAGGTCTCTGAAGCTAGCGACGACGCTAAGTGTCGAAAACTATTTTTTTTCGTTCAATAGAATCAAACAATCGTTTCAAAGATTTTGATTAAAAAAGGGCCTTGGATTTTTTTTCAATTTCTTAGATGAAAGAAAGAAATTTTAGACATTTTATTTGTGAATAAAGTAGTGATTAAATAGTGACGCAAAAAAATACTTTTTGACGATGAGCGTCAACGCTAACCACAGGGACAAATAGAAAACGAAATTCCTTTAAAGTGAATTTTAATTTTATTACTAAAAATAAAAAAAAATTCTCCGGCAGCGGGAAACGAACCCACTATACTCGTGGAAAATGTCATGCCTTAAGCACCTGAGCCAAACCATATGCCAAACTGCATTTGTACCAAACAAATTAATTTCTCTCCTAAATCGACTGATTTCTAACCGAATATCAATTATAATGAAAATACAAACAAAAAAAGTTGACAATCTGCCAAATTTATGATATAAAGAAGAAAGGGTTCGAAGTTTGTAATTTCTCGAGTGTCAATAATTCTCTCCCTCGCAAAAGAAGAAGAAGAAGAAGAAGAATCAAAGGGGGTTGGGTGGAAGGAACTCTTTTTTCTTTTCCTCCAGTTTTAAAGAAAAAAAAAAAATCTGGGATTTCTCGTGAATAAAAGCAAGAAAAAAAAGAAAGGGATCATCTTAATGAAAGAGTGGAAATTTTTTGTTTCTTTTTTCTAATTCCAAAGGGGGTGCCACACTCGCAAATGGTGTGTTCGCCAATGAAAATATTTCATTCAGCAGTTGTCTCGCATATTCAAGCTCTCGTGCCAAGGATTGACCGAAGAGACGTCTAGCGTGTGTCTATAAGTCTATTCCGTGTCTATTAAAAGTCACATTATAATGCATAGTTATAGTTGTTAGATGCGCGTAGAGGCGTCACGACGCGGTCGTCTTTGCGCTTGTGGAGCGTCGTCGTTGCTCGGTTAGCAACAGATTTGATCCAGGATCGGACTCACTGAGCCGTGAAAGAGGTGCACCTGAGGGCCCCACCCCCTCGAATCTTCATACACTCTGTACTCTCCCTCTCACTCACTCTTTCTCTCCTTTGCTTTACTCTTCAACTCGTTTTCCCCTACGACGAAAGAACGCATGTCGAGCTCAAATCGATAAACCTGCCACTAAGCTCTCAAAATATTTTCTCTCCTAATTGTACATTATTCGAAAATTATATCACATATTAATCAATAATTATATGCAATATTTATTCTAACCAGGCTGCTAAGGAATGTTAAATTTTCATTTATTGATCATTGGGGAAAAAAAAATTGGAGTAAATACCTGAGCGAATTATGCTTAATATTTATGTTAACTTTTTCGTTAATTTTATTAAATTTTCTATTCGTTAGAATTAATTATTTTAGTGAATTTCTATACACTGTCGAATATTTTCAAACAAAAATTTTTTTCCGATTTCTTTTAATGGCTAATTTTTAATATTTTGAAAAAAAATTGACGTTTGTTTAAATCAGACAATAATTGAATGGTAGAATTTAAATAAATTGTGTCCGCTCCTATATTATTTGTAAAAAAAAATTGCGATTGGTTTAAATTTAAAATTCGCGCCGAATTTTGGACCAACGAAAATGCGATTATTTATTATTATTATTATTATTATTGTTATCATTATTATTTTTTACCTATTGTTATTTTATTATTTTTATTATGATCGATATTATTATGTAATTATTTCATACACCCAGAGAAAAATATTATTTAAACCAAATATATTTTATTTGAGTTAAATAAACGTATATTTGTCTCAGAACCAATTAGACTTTTTATTTCTTTTAAATAAAAATTTTATTCGACACAAATAAAACATATATTTGAGATAAATAAAATTTCATTTAAACCAAATAAAATTTATTTCAAACAAATAAAAAGTCTAGTTGGTTCTGAGACAAATATACCATTTCTCTGGGTGTAGTTATAGAAATAAATAATTAAATTTAACAATAATTAAATAGTTATTAATGTTACTACACAGAAAATCGAAAATTTCTTCCCATTTCTGGAGCAATTTTTACTGTATTTCCAAAATAAATTTTACTGAACTCGAAATAAAAATTACTAATTTAATAAAAATTATACTTGATTTAAAAATTATAAATAATTTAAATGTAGTAAAATTTAAACCGCAAGTAAGAGTAAAAGACATTTTAGTAAAACTGCATAATTTTTATAGAAATTGTTTTCTAAAAGGAAAAGTTTCTTTATATTTATTTCGTCGATAAAAAAAGAAAATTCGGAATTTTTGTAACGTTTTGAACGTTCAAATGAACGAAATTTTTTTCTACTGCAATTTTTTAAACATTATTGTAAAAAAACAGAAAAATAATTACAATTAAACTTTTGCTTTAATTTACAAACAATTTACAAACATTTAATTTTTTTAATATACAAAATGATTTTTTTATAAAAAAATATAATTTAAAACAAGTAAAAATTTATCTTCGTTCATTTTGAAACGTTTGAAACATTTTAGAAACATAAAATTCTGATAATAAATTGAAAATAAGTTTCTTTAAATAAAAGTTTCCTTAACATTTTTTTTCTTTCTGTATATATTAAATATGAAAATTCTGATATTAAATGAAAAGTCTGTTCAATAAAAATGCAATCATAATGAAAAGTTCTATTAAATTAAAGTTCGAATAAAAAAATTCGTATTAAATAAATGTTGAAAAAATTATATTTAATAAATATTTAATCAATTCCATAAAAATAAATATTGAAGCAATTCCATGAAATTCCATTAAATAAATATTGAATGCCAAATTCTATTTAATATATATTTAATCAGTTATATTAAATAAATTTAATCAGCTCTTTGAATAAATATTTCATCATTTCTATTTAAATAAATATTTTAATCAATTTTCTTAAATAAATATTCAACCAATTTTATCAAATAAATATTCAACCAATTTTCTTAAATAAATATTCAATTTAATTGTATTAAATAATTACTAAATATAATTCTACACAAAATAAATATTAATTAAAATTATGTAAAATTTTCCAAAAAAAAATTAATTAAAATAACCAATGTTAAAATAATGTCAAAAATAAATTATAATTAAAAATGACAGTATTTCTTTAAAACCCCAGTTTGTCTGTAAAATTTTCCAATAATCAAAAATGTCGGAATTGTGAATATAAACAATTACTTAAATTACACTAATTTCATAAATCAATTCATATTAACTTATTATATTCTTCTTATAAAATTATCAATATTTTTTATCATTTCTATATAAGTATCATTTAATTGATATATTATTATGAGAGTATAAAGAAATTGAATTATAAAGCGACAAATAAAATTCTCCAGAGTTGAAAATTGCGAGGAAAAATGAATTATTTGAAAACAATACCAATAATATTTTGTCTCTCATTAAACATTTAATCGCTTTTAATGGTAAATTCATTTAAATGGGAATATTAAAAAACTGTGAACTTAATGATTGACTCGTTGTCAAGACAGGTTTGTACGATCACTTTATGAATTCATAATTTTGAATAAAAGGTGCATTTCAAATTGCATATAAATATTAATTAACTTCTATGTATGTGTGTGTCTGTATTTTATTTCATATATAATATAATAACTGGATTATGTTTTAAAAATGTTATCAAAAAAAAAAAAAAAAAAAATTGATCAAGAACGAAACTTTATAATCGAATATATGCTCTAAAAAGTGTAATTAAATTTTTAATTTTTGTAATTATTTAATAAAAATTCTCGTACGGTATAATATTGAATTTCCAGTTGGTATAAAAGAAAAATCAGAGAGACAATAGAGAGAGGAGAAATGAGAATAAAGTATATGTAATAAAAAAATTAAATATCAAGATAGAAAGAAATTTTAAATAATATTGAAAGAAAATTTAAGGAAAATTTCTATTTTATTAAAATCAAGTCTGTGAAAGTAATTCGATTTTGCAATCGAAGGAAAAATAACCGCATTTTATGGCATGGTGCCCGATTTATACTATTAATGGTATTTAATTACCCGCTTTTGTGAAATGAAAATTGTCACCGACTTGGCATTATGTCTAGTTTTATTTCCAATTATAATCAAAAAGCTTAAATATATTTTATTTATATATTAAAGCAGACGAACTTAATAAATTTTCCAATGAATTATGATAATTTCAGAGAAAGAGAGAAAGAGAGAGAATTAAAATGCAAAAGGTAAGAAATCTTTTTAATTAATAATGTCTATTTGAGACTAATATTTTATGAATTATCAAATAAAATTTTAAATTTCAAATATTTGAAGAGATTTTTTGCAAAATTTATTTTCTTTAGTGTATTTCAATTATTCAAAAATTCTTATACTGATAAATGGTTTAGATTTTTATGTTAATCTCAATATTCATGACACTTTAAAACTAAGGAATTTTTTTTCTTGCATAAATGTAAAAATATTCATATAATCCAAGCTCGATTTAAAGAATCTAAAATTAGTTAAAAGATTAATGAAGAACCGGAAAAAATATCGCAATAAACGTACCAGTTATCGAACAGGTTTTCCTGTCTGATTGGAGTATTATCGCTATTTGCCAGACAATGTCAACGACATTAACCACGATAATTGCTTTTATTATAATATATAACAAAATTCCTCTCGAGTGTCAATATAGTAAAAAATATTAACCAAGAAAATATTATTACTTACATGAGAAGTTTCTCCAGGTCCATTCCTTGCATCCATATAGATTGTTGAGAATGACTCTCTTTGGAAAATCCCCCGAAAAAAACGGAGATGGCTTTCACTCAGGATAATTGCAAATAAATTTCCAACACACGTAATATAAATTCGTTTAGCACAAGTTTTTCCATCCAAACTGTTTTTTTTTCCTCGTATCCACACTTGACAACTTTTGAGTTTTAAAAACCGATTAAAAGGGAATTATTCTTATCTTGTGTTAATTTTTGCACTCTCTTGATTATTTGCATTATAGAAGAAAAATGAAGCACAGTAGTGGAAAAGGGAATATTAAAAAATCACGACAATGAGAAAATGTAACCTCACTTTTTTTCCCCCTTAACGAAATGTGACGCGAAATGAAAACGGACGGCGATTGTTTCGTGTATTTCAATCCCGGGAATCAGGGAAGACTCAGCAAGACTTCATTTTTCCCCATCGACCCTGATTTTTACCTGTGTGACCGCTGGATAGTTCCTTTAACAGAGGCAAAGTCCGAACAAAGGCGACGATAGTGAAGAGGTGGAATGTCATGATCCTTTTTCCAGGATATTTCTGGCGCTAGTGTCGAACACTGTTGTGTGTTTTTTTCTGTTTTTTATTACAAAAAAAAGTTTCAGAGAAACGTTTAAGAATCGGCAAATTACTTGTTTCACCGTGGCCCGACACAATACCAAGAAATACAAACATATTATTTTAAAAGAAAGAGAAATGAATCTTGAAACAATATTAAAGAGACTATATAAATGAGAGCGCCGCCATTTTGAAAACACACCGGCGAACGACGAGGGCTATCTATTGCTTGTCTAGTCTGTCATATTCTGTTCGTTCTATACAACCAGCCGACCTATCCCAATTACAGTAAACGTCCTTGAGGTGACTAACATCATCTACGGGGAACAAGAGAGGGGTGCACGTCACCCCAGAAGTGGGGAGATATCGAAAGAGAGTTAGGTTAGGAGGGGGGGTATGATCTCTCATCGACAACTTTCAAAAATCTTCAATATTTCATCATACCATGATAAATATATATAACATTCACAAAAAATTTGTTTCTCTAATCACGATTGAAATGACTAATAATCATTTAATGCATCTTTCGATACAACAATCACAAAATCATGTAACACACTGGGGACTGACACACACACTTTTCAACTTATTTTTCAGATTAAAACAAACTGCACTTAATAACTTTATAAAAACTATTACTCGGGAATGTTTCTAGCTATGTTTCGACCGTTTATTACACAATAATAACGTTCACTAATAAACTTAAATTAGAAAATAACTGATTTTTAACACGAGAGTAGTTAACTTTAATTTGGCGGCCAAACAACTGGTGTGAAGTTGCGCGCTTACTATCGAGAATCGATTGTTGCGTTGCATCATGGGATCTGAACCAATTACCCGCGTTATTTGAAATTACTCACAAATTAAAAGTTTTTAATTAATAAAATAATGGTAATTTTGGTTCGAATTAAATATTTTTATGATGAAAATATACCAGTAGAAATGTAGAAAAAAAAGAAGAGAAATTCTAAGGAGAATAATGCTTGTTTCATAGGAGAATTACTTGAATAATAATAGAGTGTATAAAAAATGGCGGGAGATATTTCAAAATTTGAATTTCCATTAGTTTTGTAATTAATTATTTATAAATTATTATTACCATTAGTTTACAAATTAATTCTTTTTAATTATTGGGTATTAAAACAGTACTAATTAAAAAGGTATGAAAAAAGAATTAATATAAATAAATAATAATAAATATAAATAAATATAAATAATTATAAATAAAATACTGAAAATTGCAAAAATTGAACAATAAATTAGAGTTTTACGAAAGTTAAGAAAATTCGGAAAAAAAACTCAACTATAATTGCGGTATAAAAAAACAATTTATCAAATTTTTCTTATGTAGAGAAAAATTCTTCTAATTATTTATGAATTAATACAATAATAATAATTACTATTATTTCTCTAGTGCTAGTGAAAGTTTATGATTTTTTTTTTATTTCTCAATGTGGAATGTGAATCGCTTCATCCTTGCGTTTAAATTCTACAAGTGTAAAGCAATCTAAGTTTCCTATGAACGACCCAATTATTTCTTGCATTAAAAAAAAGGGGAAAAAAAGAAGAAAAAATTAATACAGATCATTGGAGTACGCAGTCTGATCACTGTAAGAAAACTTATCGTGACATCATCAATATCATCAATGTACAGCGAGAGAGTACGTTGATCTATGACGTATATATACATATATATTTTCCCGTGTGAAATAAAGCATTACACGGAAATAATAATGAGTCATCTCTTTTTTACTTGAAAAGTGCTTGAATGCTATAAGGATATTTCTTCATTTTTTTCATTTTTTTATATTTTAATAATTATTTTTCGATTGTTAATAAAAACTATATTTAATTTAAGTAAATTTTTTTATTTTAATTTTAATCAATTTTAATTAAAAAATATTTTTTAATTAATTTAAATATTAAAAAATATTTTTTGATTAATTTAAATATTAAAAAATATTTTTTGATTAATTTAAATACTAAAAAATATTTTTTAATTAATATTTAAACGTTAAAAATAATAAAAAATAAATAACAAAAAACATTCATAAATTAAATAAATTAAATAATTAATATATAAATAAATTAATTATCATAATATTTAATGTTAAAATATTTTAAAAATCACAGGTGAAAAAATGAAGTTATTTAGAGAATTTATACATAAAAATTAGAGAAAATAGTTATTTTCATTTTCTTTCAATAAATTTTTGAAATCAACAATTTTTCATCAACAAAAAAATTAATGTAATTTGTCATTATAGAAACAAATTCAATTCAATTCTGAGTAGTGAGAATATTTATGTCAAATAAATTATTAAGAGACAAAGGAATCAGGCATGTATTTTAATTGAAATTAGTTGTTTCATGATACTTTTGTTATGCAAATTCCCTCTTACAAAGAACGTTGTCATACTTTTGAATAAAGAGATTTCATTGATAAAAATCGAAGATACATATCGAGGTTTATTGGAAAAAAATTTCAAATTCAAGGAAAATATTGTCATAGCAAAAAAAAAAAATAAAATAAAACCGCAAAAATAGAAAAAAAAGAAAATTAATTTAAAATTTTCCAAAATTTATAAAAATTAATATTAATATTAAAATAGTGTTAAATAATTAATAATAATTTTATTATTTAATAGAATAAATTTTCAAACAGACAAAAGAAATTTTTTAAAATAAAAAAATTTAATAAAAAAATTTTTAATTGATATTTGAAATTGCTCAAAATAAGAGAAAAAAAATTGAAGTAACAATTGCTTTTTGTAATTACAATTTTTAAGAAGACAAAAAAATTTGAACTTTAAAATTACAATTTTCAAGAAGATAAGAAAATTTTTTTTTCTAATTCTCTAATTTTCAAGAAGACAAAAAAATTTTGAACTTTAAAATTTAATTTTCAAGAAGACAAAAAAATTTGAACTTTAAAATTACAATTTTCAAGAAGACAAAAACAGTTTTTCTAATTAAAAAAAATAGAAATTACAATTAATTTTTAAAATTACAATTTTTAAAAAGACAAAAAGATTTTTTCTGAACAAAAAAAAAATTAAAATTAAAATATGATAGAATTGAGATTGAAAAGAAGAAAAAAATTATATAAGATACACGTGTAATAATTGGATTGCTTGCTTGCAAAGAAAATTTCATCGGTCTAGAATATATATATACATTGCAATGTGAGTCACCCAGCAAATACTAAATTCTCTTTCACATTTATTCACACAAATACTATAGAGGTATAAAGTAAACTTGATCTGTAACTCCCTGTAATGGATTCGATTTTTTTTTTTTAAATCTTTTTTTTCTTCTTTCTTCTTTTAATGTACCTATTACACTCATAGTAGGATTGTAATAATACAGATGCATTTCTCGTAACGGTGATAGAATGGTGGAGAACAAAGAGATAATGCTTGTGCTTAAAATTGCGAACTGACGATATACATATTAAACAAAATGCAATATCTCGGTCCGAGTCATTTTATTTTTCACGCTCCTTTGAAATTCATATCACCACACAAATTAAACTTACTTCTCAAATCTTTCCTTTTTCTTATATTTTTTGCACTGGAATTCTTTTTTTTTACTAAAAATTTTACAAAAATATTTTTTTTTTGCTCAAAATTTCACTCTAAAGTATTTTTTTCTTACTTTAAAACTTTACTGTAATATTTTTTTCTTACTATAAAATTTTAATAAAATATTTTTTCTACCAAAAATTTCACTATAATATTTTTTTTCCATATTTAAATTTTACTAAAATATTTTTTCTACCAAAAATTTCACTATAATATTTTTTTTCATATTAAAATTTTACTACAATATTTTTTTTCTTATTATGAAATTTTACTAAAATATTTTTTCTACCAAAAATTTCCTAATAATATTTTTTTTCATATTTAAATTTTACTAAAAATATTTTTTCTACCAAAAATTTTACTATAATATTTTTTTTTCTTACTATGAAATTTTACTAAAATATTTTTTCTACTAAAGAATTTTACTATTTAATTTTTCCACTAAAAATTTTAGTATAGTCAAAGTTTTTTTTCCAGTAGAAATTTTTAATCGAAAAATTTGTTTCCATTAAAAATTGAACTATTGATACAATTTTTTTTACACTAACAATTTTTACTATAGGATTTTTTTTTCACTAAATATTTTCACTACTAAATTTATTTTCTACAAAAACGTTCACCTACTAAATATTTTACTATTAAAATTTGTTTGCTACTAAATTTTCTTCTACTAGAAATTTTATTATTACTTCGTTTTGCTACTAAAAATTTACACTTTCAATTTTTTTGCTACTAAAAAATTAACACTTTCAATTTTTTTTCTACTAAAAATTTCACTATTACCATTTTTCTAATAAAAATTCTACTATTCAAATATTTCTACTTAAAATTCTCGCTTCGTGCGAGAATTTAAGTTTTTTTCTCTACTAAAAGTTTGTACTGTTAAATTATTTTTAACTAATTGCTAATAATAAAATTGATTATACTTATAAAATTATTTGCTAATAATGAAATTAATTATAAACTTTAAAATAAATCCCTAATTGTGAAATTAATCACGACAAAATTAAATTAATAGGTACAAAATATATTATTGTTGACAATTTTTTTTCTTCCCTAAAAAATTGATAAAATCATGAGATTAAAAATTGATTGTAAATTTGTAAAATTAATTGCTAATAGTATTAATTGTAAATTGTAAAATAAATCCCTAATTGTAAAATTAATCACCAAAAAATTAATACAAATTATATTATCGTTGACAATTTTTTTTCTTCCCTAAAAAATTGATAGAATCATGAGATTAAAAAGTTGACAATTAATTCATTTCATTTGTGTTTTATTCTGTTAATGTCTCACATAATACTAACAAAACATTTAATTACAAAACATGGGCAATGGACATAGTGTGAAATTGTGTATATATACGTAATTGTGTGACGTGATTAGAAGCTGCTATTGCGTTACGCATAATATCTTCTGAAATAATGTATTACAATATTAAATATATTTCAAGTGTTGATTTTTCCAGAGAGAAAAAAAAATTGTGTCGAGTGCCTTTTAAAATTATGTCCAACAATATCCCATTGCGTAATTATACATTTCCTCGTGACTCATTTTTATTAATTTTTTTTTCTTTTATGCGATCTACAATAATTTTTCCCTATATAGCCTATTTTTTTTTTTTTTGACCTTTTTCTTTCGTTTTAGTCTCGTGTGTGTGTGAAATATGCGGAAACGCAGATGAGTTAAAAATGCTACTAATATATGCAATATTTCTTTTTTTTTTTTTTAAATCGTAATATTAGTATGTCTTGATATTATTAGTTTTGTTATTATTTTAAATAAGTTTTCAATAGTTATTTGTCCAAACACTGAATATTTTACAACAGCCATCGGTCTCAACTAGTCATATAACTCCATTAAATAGTTTTTTTTAATTTTTTTTTTTTCAATTTTTTTTTATATATTGTATAATATTATGCGTAGCACGTTTGATCCAATATCATATCAATAATAGGGATATATCATAAATTTTGTAATTTTCTAAAAAATATTCTCTAAAAAATATGTTGACCTAAAGATTATTATGACTGATAATCACAGACAATTTTTTTTTCAACTTTTTTTTTTATCCCCCGTTTTCTATACGTCATTTCGGTTATTATTATTTTTTTTGTCGTCTTCGTCGTCTCAATTAGTAATCTTTTTCTCCAAAAAACGAATACATTCTACAATATTTTTTTTTTTTAGAATTACGATAGTAGTGTTTACATGTGTGTCAAGAAGCGTTTTATATTTCAATTTTAATTCCTTAAAAGTCGTTTTCTCCCTCGTACTTAATTTTTTAAATTTCTATTCACTCTTAATACAATAATATTCTCGAATATAAATCTATATACTTTGAATTTTTCAATGCTGACAGAAGATTTTTTTTGATAATCTGACTACGATTGCGTTTGTTAAAAAGCTTCTAAGGACTAAAAACTACAGAGAAGACTTTGTTTTCCTAAGATTTTTAGTTCACTCCATAAAAAAATCCTACTTTTCTAGAATAATGTCGAAAAAAAAAATAGAAAAAGTGGGAGAAAAAAAATGCCGACACACTATTTTTTTTAATTAATAAATAGTCGTGTCGACTTGCGAGTGCAATACTAAAGAATTCTCACTACCAATGTATAGCAATGAGATTTTCAGGAGATACTTAAGACTCAAGAAAAAGAAAATATTCGTTAAGCAAGGAATTATAAAGCAATTCTGTACTCTATCTTAAAATCGCTAGTGCACGTACGCTCCTCTTCAAATTATAAATAAAAAAAAAAACCTACTACAAAGGGACGCGTGCCTTACAGAAAATATTCATGTATGTAATTAGCTCTCAGTACTCACTGGCTCGTGAACTTATTTCCCTTTATCCAACAACTTATACAATTCTTTCACTATAAAAGAAAAATAAATGCTCAAATTAAAAAGCAATTTCTGTGAAATACGCTTCCCTTAAGCAAAAAAAAAAAAATATATATATATATGATTGACATTTGCGCGAAGGGTTTATGCCTCCTTTTTTTCAATTGTTTTCCCCTCCTATCTCAGAAAAATTCGACAGTAATCAATAAATATCAATAAAATATCTAACATTTCTATTATATTTTCAAGTAAAATTACCTTCCTTAGTATTCATATCATATTTTTTTTTACAAATTATATTATATTAACAATAATTCATCTTCGCTTTTTCTATAATAATAATAATTATAATCATTAGTAATTGTACAAAAAAAAGAAAAGAATCGAAATACCTAAAAAAAATGGCAATTTCTCGTGACCAGAACTAGTTTACAATTTTTTTTTTCCCTTTTCCCTCGTGTTTTACAACTTTTTACAACTCATCATACATATTTTGTACCAAACCAGGCCGATTAAAACAAAAAAAAAAATTATAAAAAAAATTGTTCTTTTTTATATTACTCCGTTAAAATAAAATCGCAATCGACAATCGAAACTTCCCCGTCTATTTATTATCAAACACTTCTGCATTGATCTACTATCTCTTATAATCTAGGCCATTGTTATTATTTCCTCTTTTTTTAATTTTAATTTTTTTTTTTTATTTATTTTTTTTTTTTTAGTTGAAAAGTGCACTTGACGGTGTCCAGGGAGCACCAGATTAACGGGAGGACTACCTCGGCAGAAATTGATAAGTCTACTTTCGTCCTTATTATATTTTTTTTTTTTTCATTATCCTATGGATTATTTTTCTTTTTTTTTACAAATAAGAAAGACCTTAAAAAATTCTTCGACACGTTTCCTTAAGCTTATCACTGGATTTAAAACGTAGATACAATTAAAAATTTAAGGCAAAATTTCATCTCACAGATTCAGTAAACGACGACACTTTGTCCATATAATTATTATTCTAGAGACATTTTTTTGTATTCTTTTTCTTTGATTTTTTTATCACCAGGAAGATCAATTTTAACAATTAAAAATTCTTTTCATCTCTTCCTTTTTTTGTTCCTCCTCTTCTTTCTCTTATCGAATACTAACGAGAAAAATACTTTTTTCAAGAAAATAATCCAAAATATAAAATTAACATATTTTCTCGTTCGTATAATATTTTTAGAGAACATTCAGTTCTTTGAAAGTTTAATTAAAAGAAATTCTCGCGATTTTATCGCTCAACACACACACACATTTCTTTTTTTTTTTTTTTAAAGCGTTCTTACAAATATTTCGTAAAAAATATATATTATATAGAAAAATATTGAATGGCGTGACAAATCTATGTTCTAAAGCTTTCGACAATTAAATTGAAAAATAAATTCTAATTTTTTAACTCACATGAAAAATTGTTTTGGAATAAAGAAGCAAGCAAGAATATGCTTTCATCAGAGTGGAAGCACTGTGACGTAACATGAGAATAGAGTTTAGAAATTTTCATTTTAATAATTAAAAAAAAAGTATTAAAATTCACGCTTTATGCGATTCACACCAAGTTTTCATTATTATATATGTGAAATAATTGTTTTTTTTGCGTAACGCATGCACAATATTGCGCATGCAATCTAAACGCATTAAAGTGGAAATCGAAAGTCCTTTGCGAGATATATTTAAAGCTCGCTATAATATTATGTTGACTTTCTCACTCCCAACAATCGACAATGCCACAAAATTTGACTTTTCATCAATATCTGCCAAAGTAGCTTTTTCTTTTCCTCTCATGCCTTTTATTCTCTCTATTCTCCTTTCATTAGAACGTATATATATATATATAATTTATATTTATTTATATATTTATGTATTTTATGTTTAAAAATTCATTACTGTAATTATATCGAGACAATCCCTACACTAACAATTACAATATTTCTTTTTTTATACAAAGAGAGTTTTGATAATTCAGCCTAAAGCATATTTGCTGTAGAAAAAAAACTTTTCAGCACTTTATTCCAAAATTTAATTTCAAAATAATAAACTGTCAATTTTCCCTCTATTTCAAATTTTTAATCCGGAAAATGATTAAAAAAAAGATTAAAAAAAATAAAATTTGAATAAATTATTTCAATTCGTATTCGTCAAACAAAAGATTCTTATTAACAACGGGATTCTTCAAATTGTCATATTTTGAGAAACTCTTCAAATAAAACAAAAAAAAAATAAATAAATAAAATCGTTTGTTTCTAATAGAACAGAAACAATTTTCAACTTTCGTTATGTAAAAAATTCAAAAAATAAAAAAATATTTCATTTTAAACTAAAACAATAGTTTCTTTAAAAAATTAAGTAGAAAAATAAAAGAAATATAAAATTTATAATTATTTCTTCTGGAAGACTAATAATTTTTCGAATTAAACATAAAAATTGATCAAAAATAATATATAAAGTTTTTCGAAAAATTATAAGTAAAATAAATTGTAGAAAAATAGAATAAAAAAGTAGAATACAAAAATAGTGTAAAAAATAAAAAAATAAAAATAAAAGAACAAAAAACAATAAAAAAATAAAACAGTAATGAAAGAAAAATTAAAAATTAAAAGTAAAGACAAATATTTATAAATTGATTGAATTAAAGATAAATCTTTATAAATTGATTGTTTTTGATTAAAATATTATATTATTTTTTTTTTAATAATATAACTTATTTATATTTAATCAAGTTCAGTTTTTAATAGTTTCATATTAAACTCAACGATACTTGATAAAAATGTCAACTGAATCGATTCCTTTCTTTCTCAATTATTCAAATGTTAACTAAAATTTTGATTAATTGCCAATATTAATCAAATGTTAACTAAAATTTTGATTAATTACCAATATTAATCAAATGTTAACAAAAATTTTGATTAATTATCAATATAAATAAAATGTTAACTGAAAATGTTGGTTAATTATCAACATTAATGAAAATGTCAACAAAAATTTGTTGTCAATTTAGATTTGTTAATTTTTATCAAAATGTTAACTAAAATGTTAACTAAAATGTTGTATAATCATGGTTAACAAAATATTTTTCAAAACTAATTAATAATTTGCAATTAACGAAATTTCCACTTTTTGGAATAAAGTGCTAATTTATATATATTTTTTGTAGAGAAAGCCTCGTTAGTGGGACAAAAGTGCAAAGAGATATTTTTTTTTTCTTTATAATTCGTATAATGAAAAACTAAGTTTATAGCGATTTGCACGTTCTTTTCTAGAGCGAAAGCAGAAAATCTTTAATAGGTTATTGCTATATAAGTATTCTCCTTAAATCAACCATAACGCATTTGTTGTGTTAGCCAAAAAAAAATTATGGTAACATCAACAATAATGCTTTTTCAACGTAAATATGTATATCTGGCCTTCTATTTAACTATAAATCTATAGATATTTCATTTCTCTCATTTCCCTCCCATTTAATCCCCTTTTTTATGCCTTTATAATAAAAAGCTGTCATCTCTGAAAATAGATCATCGCCGATTAACATTCTTTTTTTTTAAATAAAAAATGAAAAAGAAAAAAAATTCTGTCCCCAAAAAACGCAGTCAAATGTCAGCACACAAATATTTAATGTTTTGTTTCTTTTTTGTGCCCAAACGCGTTTCTTAGATTAATTTTTTTTTTTTTTTGTTTCGAAAACGCAGTCTCAATTGAGGTATTTGCGACATCTGCGTGAACCGCAGGTACACGGTATTTTAATATCCTCGAATGGAAATTTGTAGTCGTACGTTAATTCTTCTCCTTGAACGATGCGGCGTAGAGCAAAAATTAAAATATGTTTCTTACCTAGGATATCAACCACCCGTGAATAACAATTCGGCTGAAATAAAAAAAAAAAATTGTTAAATGAGTGCCAAACGGAAGAAAATTAATACAATTTAATCTAATCAATCAATTAAATAACTAAAAGAAAATAAAACAAAATCTACTTTGGAATAGTTAAAGAATATTTAATTAAAATAAATAATACTAGGTACTATCAATACTAATAAGACTATTAATATTAAAATATTTTTAAAAATTATCAACAAATTGTCAGAACAAAATATTTTAAAAATTATCGAAAAGAATTACTAAAAAAATATCAAAAAAGTGATTAGAAAATTAATAGTTGAAAACAGAAAATACTTTTCTATAAAACAGAATAAAGAACAGAAATCTTGATAAAAAACAGATTATATTGATAAAAAAAAATAAACAGTTTATAATTAGAAACAACTGTTCATTGAGAATATTGATGATAAAAAGGATTAATTAAAATTTTCCTTAATGAAAACAAAAATCGTGAATATATTGTCAAATGCGCTCATTGAAGTGAATAATGAATGAAGAAGAGGGAGAGAGAGAGATAATTGATTCACTCTCAAATTGAGGGAAAAAAAATGCTAATAAAATGTTGAGTAATTTAAAAATGATTATTACCTCGCACGAATGATTAATAAACCTTGCTGCATTTCCTTTCATAGTGGCATCGACAACGAGATGATCATCTATTTTAAACATGTAGCATCCAATGTTTTTGCTGTCGTAATATTTTTCACGCTTGTCCGTCAGGGAAGCTCGAATTACCTAAAGTGCGAAAAAATATATAATTATTATTCACCTCATTATGGATAATTTAATGCGATTATAATATCGACAATTTATTACCGCATATACAGCGAAATTTAACACTTTCTCATGAAATAAATTCAATAAATTATGAATAAATAATTGAAAATAAATAAAATATAAATTCAAAACGAAAATATATATATATAAATAAATAAAAAAAATAAACTAAAAAAATAAATAAAAGAAATAAGTAAAAAAAATTATGAAAAAAGAATTAAATAAATATGGAAAGAAAAAACCAATGAAATCGATTATGAAATAAACCGTAAATAATAAATGAGAATAAAATTCGATTTAAATGATAAATTTAATTATTTTTTTTATAAATCTAGGATTTATCTTCTTTTTAAATAATATGACGAGTTATTGCTGCAATTTTAATTGAATTTGATCTAATTTTCGTGAATTTCATTAAAACTCACTTCTCCGGCATACTCGATGACCATTTCTCCGGCTTCGATGTCTCGTAAACAGAAGAGGCCTCTGCCATGAATATGAGAATGATAAACGCCAACTGATTCCTTTGATGTTTCCTTGAGAATTCTAAATCTCATCGCCATCGGCAAATTCGTGCTGGCAGCTCTTCTGCAAAGAAAATAATTTATGTAAAATTCTTTCACTATAATTTAATATACGAAAGATTAAAAAAAAATCAGAAATAAATTAAGTAAAATAAATAAAACAAAATGGGTAAAATAAAAAAAATCAAATCAAATAAGTAAAATAAATAAAATATGTAAAATAAACCAAATAAATAAAGAAATGAAAATAAATAAAGAAATGAAATTAAATATGTAAAATAAAGAAAATAAATAAAGAAATTAAATTAAATACGTAAAATAAATAAATGAAATAAAATAAATAAAATATATGAATTAAACAAAAAAAGAACAGCAATTAAAATAAATAAGTAAAATAAATACAGCAAATAAAAGAAATAAAATTATTAATAAAAAAATTAATTAATTAATTAAATAATTAAAATAAAAAAAAATAAATTAAAATAAACAAATATAGAAAAAATTCATAAAAAAATATTTATTGTAAATACATTTTTCAAGAAGAAATTAATTTTTTTAAAATTCAACACGACCTTCAGTTTCTGTTCATTGTAGAGTGAACTTCAACTTTCTACACTGTAAATATTATTATAGAATACCCTTAAAGTTGCGACTCGGATTCGGTCGAAAGTCTGTCCGTTCGGTCTTTTTCGGATCGATTCGGTTTCATTGTATCGGTCACATTCGGGTTCGGAATTGAGGCGTCATTTCAGTTATTTTACGCCGCTTGACGATGGAAAAATTATCAACCACTCTCCAGTTTATTATTATATAAATTATCATAGAAAAGTTAGTGAATTTATTTAAACTTGTTAAAAATTCATTTCCAAAATTGAAAAATAAACAAAATTGAGGATAATCGTTGATTTGTAGAAAAAAATGTGAAGATCTACAAAAAATTTGCGATAAAGAATTGGTACGTAAACATTCGTTCATGTCTATGTTAATAACCCGAAAATTAAGATTCTGTAAATTATTCTTAAATTCAAGCCGATTAAAAATTTGTAAACCAGTTAATACTATTCAATGTTATTTAATTTTAATTTAATTTAATATTTTTCAATTTTTAATTATTTTTTATTTAAAGTTTAATTTAATTTTTAATTATTAATTAAATTATTATTGTTTGGTTATAGTGAAAAATATTAATTATTTTGTTTATTTATTAACGGGAGAATAAATAATATACCTATTATTAATTATGATATTAATAATTAATATTGTTATATTACAATATAATATAATAACAATAAAATAATATTAAAATAATTTAGATTATTTATATTCTTTCGCATATGTGTTAATAATAATTTTTATTTGATTCTTGGATGAAAGAATTCATTAATTCTTTCTTCCAAAAATCGAATTAAAAATTATTATTAATATTAATATAATTTAAGTAAAACTAAAAAATAGAAAATTAATACGAGAAATAAATACAAATGTCAATCATCTATATTACCTTATATTTTACATAATTGTCAAAAAATTAAAAATAATTTACTAAATTTATATTAAAGTGATTAAAATTAACAAGAAGAATTTATTCAAGTTTTCAAACATCAAAAATTATTTTTTAATTTAATAATTATTCTTCAGGTAAATAAAATCAGTATGGAATCATCAGCACCCGATTATGAGGCAATAGACATAAAAGAAGAAATACCATCGGATGTAGAAGATAATGAAGTTTACGATAACCTAATGTTGAATTTAATGAGTGCCAAGAAAGAAGGAACAGAATCATTTATTAAAATAGAAGAACAATATCAGGAGACAAATCCAGATCAAACACGATTATCTAGATCTTTATCACGAGCAGCACGTCGTTACGTGAAAGAGAAACAAATTGAAGATGTGCGAAAAAAAATCTACTCTGGTCTCTATGCTCTCGAACAAAAATCAGGTGGAAGAAGTGAAGCGTGGAAAAGATTTCAAGTAATCATTGAAGTTGCCACAGGTCTAAAAACAGAATATGTACAATGTAAAATTTGCGAATTCATTCAAAAATACGTCGGCACATCAACCGGTACATCACAACTTTTACGACACTCGTGTATAAAGAGAAATAACGAAACAACAAATCCAAATCAACACTGTCTTTCAATGATAATAAAATCATGCATCGATTTTTGCGCCATTGATTTACAACCACTGACAGTAATTAAAGGCACTGGTTTTCAGAAATTAGCACAAGATTTAATAAACATCGGCGCAAAATTGGGACCAACGAGTATAAAAGATTTAATGCCCGATCAAAATACCCTCTATGTACAACTTTCCCAAGAAGTTCAGTTTGCCCGCCAAGAATCATTCTTGACAATTTTGCCAATTATACAAAAAGAAGAAGGTGCAATATCCCTGAATACTTGGATCGACAATAATACTGGTCATTCATACACAAATGTCGTCTATCATCACATTAACGATAAATGGGAATTCAACAGCAGTCTAATGTTCACTGTATTCAATAATAAAAATGATAAAAACTACTCCGAAATTCTCGATGAAATTATTCAAAAATTCATCCGTCTCGGTGCTTCATGGAAAATAATGAAACCAATCACAATCATATCGGAGCAATCTATCGATGATCAAGACTACAATCAAATTCCCTGTGTCGAAGTCTCACTAAACACTATCATCAAAATCGTTCTCTACAGTAAATTCACAGAAATAGAAACACCCGAAATTCACCACATTCTCTCAGGTCTGGATAATTTTGTCAAATTCATGAATCAATCGGGTCTATTTGCACGTATCAAAAAGCTCAGAATGCGAATTGATAAAAATGAAACCTGGCAAGAGCATTTGCAATCCCTCACTGTTATTCATCAACACAACAATCAAATTATCAAATTGGTCAATGGAACCGATCAGTGGCTTCTTGAACTCGACATAACAATTGTCGAATTTCTAATGAATTTTTTACAATTATTTAGTGAAGCTATTAAAGATTTGTTGGACGATAATAAACCGAATATTCATCTTGTACTTCTTTGGTACAAGAAAATAATTAATTTTTGCGCTAAAAAAACTGACGACAAGATGGCTATTAAATTAATAAAGAGCCGAACAATTGAGAAATTAAAAGAACTATATCCCATTGATCATCGTCACAAAGTTGCAACATTTTTATGGTCATCGGTGAGAAAAATGAAAATGCTCTCAAATCTCGATCGTGTGCAATTTATGCAACAATTGCAGACGGAATTAAATCAAATTGATACCGTAGTAGCGCAGGAAGAGGAGAAAGATCCATTGGCCGATAGTGGACCACCGGAAAAGCGGCGGAAACAACATTTTCATCAGTGGCTGGAAAATCAAGACGATGGTAAATATTTTCATTTTAAAGAAAATTTCAATTAATTGAACTAATTAAATTAATTAATTAAATAATAAATTAAATAAATTAACTAATTAAATTAAAGTTTGAACTTTAATTTCTAAACATTAATTAAAATAATTGCGAGTAGGAATTTAATTAACAAAAAAAAATTCTAAATATACAAATTATTTTTTTCAGATGAGAAGAGTGATGAAATTTTCAATTATCTAATGACGAGGCATTGCAATAATAGTGATCTATTAATGTGGTGGAAGCTGAAGGAGGGGAAATTTCCAAAATTGGCGTCTTTGGCGAAAAAATATCTCTGCATTCCGGCAACGAAACGTCATTCGGAAAAATTTTTTGAACCAGCGAAAATTTTATTGAACAATCGATCAGCTGATATGAAACCATCCACCGTCATTGATTTGAATTATATGCACTATTTTTATAAATCAATTTAGTAAGGCTTTTGAGTGCGAGAAAATCGAGACGAGAGAATTGAATCTGAATTCAATATTTATTTAACTGACTAAATTTTTATTAGTAAAAAATTCATATTGCTTTGAATTACGAACTGATTTTTTCAATGTTATTTAATTTCTTTAAAATTAAAATTAAAATTCAATTTAAAATTTTATTTCAGTTGAAATTGTAATTCGATTCAGAACTTAATTTAAAAGCAAATTTAATTGAAATTGAAATTCAATTTAAAATTTAATTTAAGAGGCAATTGAATTGAAATCAAATGAAATTTTTAATTTACTTTAATTTGAAATTTAATTGATATTATAATTCAATTAAAAATTTTATTTAAGTTGAATGTCAATTTAAGAAGAAAATTTATTTAAAATTCAAATTGAAATTCAATTTTAAATTTAATTTCAGTTGAAATGTAATTAATAATAATGAAATTGAAATTTAATTAAAATTGAAATTCAATAAATTTAATTTAAGTTGAAATTTAATTAAAATTAAAATTCAATTTTAAATTTAATTTTAGTTGAAATTGTAATTCGATTTAGAACTTAATTTACGAGCAAATTTAATTGAAATTGAAATTCAATTTAAAATTTAATATTTATGTTGACATTTAATTTAAGAAGCAATTGAATTGAAATGAAATGAAATTTTAAATTTAGTTTCATTTGAAATTTAATTGATATTGTAATTCAATTAAAAATTTTATTTAAGTTGAAATTTAATTAAAACTGAAATTTAAATTCAATTTTAAATTTAACTTCAGTTGAAATGTAATTAAAATTGAAATCGAAATTCGATTTTAAGTTTAATTACAATTAAAATTCATTTTTAAATTTAGTTTCATTTGAAATTTAAGTAAAATTGTATTTCAATTTAAAAGGAAATTTAATTAAAAATTGTAATTATGTTTAATATTTAAGTTTAAGAGGAAATTTATTTTAAATTGAAATTCAATTCCAAATTAAATTTATGTTAAAATTTAATTGAAATTAAAATTAACTTTAAATGTATTCGAAATTTAATTAAAGTTGCAGTTTAATTCAAATTACCAATTTAATGAAAAACTAAAGCAATTTTTTACTAATTGAGTTTTAGAAAGTTTAATAAAAAGAAAAATTTTCTTGATTTTGTAAAATGAATTAAATTTAATATTGTTTCAATTCCTGATATCAAGTCATTAAGAGTTGAATTTGTAATTATAATTTTCTAAATGAAAATTATTGGTTTATAATTATAATCAACGAAATTATACTATTCATTATTATAATTAAATTAGGTTTAAAGAATTTATTTCTTTTTCTTTAAAAAAAGGAGAAATTCTTTCGTTTTTTCGTAAAGTACGTGAAAAAATTCACATTTTTTCAATTCCTGTTGTGAAACAATTTATGAATTGCAATTATTGTTTCGAAAGTTAAAGAACTGTTTTGTAATCAATCGAAACTATTCGATTACAAACTATTATGTTTAATAAAAATTTATTTACTGTAATATTTTCAAAAAATATTCGAAAACGTCCCAATGAACGAAATATTTTTTAAATATAAACATTTCCAAAAAATTACTTCGTAGAATATAAACAAGAAAAAAGTAAAATTTTCTACAAAATTTTGAAAAATTAAAACAGCAAATTTTTTTGAGACTTTAAATAATTTTTTAATACGTAACTCATATTGAAGTTTGAAATTGAAAAAAAGGAATTTTCGTTTATTCGAACGCTCAGAAGATTAGATTTTTTTTCCAAATATTTTGATTCATTTTGATTATGAGTCTATTTTGCGGGGAAGGACCGGTGAAATTTCACCCTTTCAATATTTAAATTTTTATGGTGTGACAATTTTTTTTCGTTAATTACTTTCGATCTAAATTTATTCCTTCTTATTAAAATTAAAAAAAACTATTTTTATCACCTTTGAAATTTCATTTTTTGAATATATTAAAATTTTCAAAATCCAGAATTTTCTGAACCATGAAAAAAGCGTATAAAAAATACGTTCGTGAAATTCACAACATTTATAATCAACGATTTAGAAAAAAATATATTTTTCTATAATTTTGTACAAAAAAAAGTTTTGCATAATTATTTAATCAATAATTTGAAAAAGTACAATTTATAACAAAACATTTTTTATTTTTGACAAGAAAAATATTTTTTTTCCTTTAATCGTTAATCATAAACGTTGTGAACTTCACCGACGTTGAAAAATAATAAAAATTAGAAGAGAAGTTCAAAATTTCATGTTTAAAAAATTTCGAGTTTTATTTATAAAAATAATTAAATAGTTTTCTAATTTTTCAAAGTATTTATAAATAAATAAATACTGAAACTTTAATTTCAAATAAGTAATTAATTAAAATACTAAAATTATCAGACGAGAAATTGACCACCGATGAATAAAAATTTAAATGAGTTGAAATTTTTCCGGTCCCTTCTCTTTAATTTTAATTTAATTAATTTAATGAAAGAAAAAAACAATTTTCCAAATACCTTGATTCATTTTCCGTGATGGCGATTAATTTCGGTTGTTGTCGATGCCTGGAAGCGAGCCAACTAAAGACATCGTGGACTTTTCTCTCCTTGAAAGGTTCAGCTCGTGCAGCTCCATTAATACATTCAGTTAATAGATCACCATCGCCTTCACCTGGTTTTGGTGGTGTTAAATTATGAAATTTCGGCTTATATTTTGTACATCTATTTACACCTGGCAATTGTTCCACCAAATAAACACAAGCATTATTTTCCAATCCAAGATTCTCCGACAATGGATTATGAGGTAATGGCGGTAAATTATGTGCTTTACGTGCATTTTGAACAGCTTGAAATACAGTTTCCCAAACTTCAGTCATGGATGATGCGGTATGAGTGAAACCATCTTGTGATTTTATTTCATACATTAAACTCGGTCCGGTTAATTTTTTCTTCTGCGATAAAATTGGTACTTTTGCTCCTGCTGCTGCTGTTTTCATATTTTTAATTCCTTTTGACGCAAGTCTTGGTTTCTTCACAGCAATCGGTGGTGTTTTCAATTTCATGAGATTAACACTATTGTTATTGTTATTAGTCGATGTTTTCTCACTGAGAGCGCTGTTTGTTTTTAACGTGAATGTTTTGATTGGCAAAAGTTGTAATTGATTCGGTGGTTGTTGAGGGGATTTGTGTGTTATTTTGTAGGAGCCGTCTTGTAATTGCTTTTGTAGAACTATCTTTAGGGACGAGGGGGATTTTTCCTTGGATTCGAGATCATTTTTTTGATTTTTTAAATTTTCCTTTATACTCTCTTTCTCTCTTTTGCTCTCCTTTATTTTTATGCTCTCCTTGATGTTCTCCTTGGCAATTTCTTTCATGTTCACTTTTGCTATTTCTTTAATTGTCCCTTTCATTTCCTTGATATTCTCTCGTACGTACTCTTTTATTTCCTTTATACTCTCACGAACGTTTTCTTTTATTTCCTTGATAGTTTCCCTCGCGTTCTCCTTTATTGTCTCCTTTATATTATCATTGATGAGAATGGAAGTGGATTTTAATTTTAGATTTTCGGTTGTAATTTCGTTCGGTGACTTTAGTGAATCCTTCAGTGTATCTTTTAGAGAATCTTTCAGTGAATCTTTCAGAGAATCTTTCAGTGAATCTTTCAGAGAATCTTTCAGTGAATCTTTCAGTGAATCTTTAAGAGAATCTTTCAGTGTATCTTTCAGTGAATCTTTAAGAGAATCTTTCAGAGAATCTTTCAGTGTATCTTTTAGTGTTTCTTTAAGTGATTCCATTTTTGGGGAGTTTCGTTCGTTTACATTTTCGTTGAGATTTTCTTTAACACTTTCCTTGAGGCTGATCATTACGTTTTCGAGTACAGCGGTTTCTTTGTAAATTTCCCTATTATTTTCTTCGAATTCTTCCAATAGTTTGAAATTATCGTTTGTTGTTTGATTGACGATCATTTCTAGATTATTTATTTTTAGCTTAATCTCGGGTTTAATCACTGGTGAGATGATTTCCTTCGGTGGTAGAACAATTTCAGTCTCAATGGATTTAATTTCCGGTTTCGTGGGCTCCTCCAAAGGAATATCAGACTTTTGGTTTGGTTTTGTGAAATCTAATTTAGTGACGGCTTGCATGGGTAGAACCCTGTTCATTGGTCGAGCATTGTGGGTCGGCATTATTATTTTATTCTGTGCACTGGGTATTGTTATGACCGGACTATTATTTAGAGTTAAATTATTACAATTAGTATTTGTTAGGGAACTACTGTAGGTACTATGCACACTATTTACATCATGATGATTATATTTATTTACAATATTTCTATGAGTAATGCAATGATTGTGCAAGGGGGGAATCTTGCTTGATATGCTTGATTTAATCATGCTCGTGTTTTGTGACACGTGTTTTGAGTCGAAATAAGGCCGGATACTGTTGCTGATTGAATGCTCGGAGGTGAGAATTGGTTCTGTTATTTTCCAAGGTTCAGTAATTGTTGTTTCTGGTGGATTTAATTGCATTGATGGATTTGGTCGAACTGCAACTCTTGGAATTGTTGGAATGGCTTGTTGCATTGATTTTAGAGAGTGATTTTGTATGTCGACAAGGGGGGGTTCGATTGTTTGAATTGGTCTCACGGAAGATGCGTCGAGAGTGTGTATTGGTCTGATAGAAGATGCTTCTAAATTGTGAATTGGTCTCACGGATTGATGGTCGAGATGGGGAATTTGATCGAGTGTTTGAATTGGTCTCACTGACTCGACAGTTTGCGGGGCTATTGCTGATGAGAGTGTGCAAGCGGCGGGTGTGAAATTTGTCTCGGGATTTGAGACATTCATTTGGGGTGTGGAAATTGCTTCGGTCAGGGGAGCTGGTTGATTGACGACAACGTAACTTCCGGCCATTCCAGGTACGCCTTGAACTGCTTGTACTGTGGGTACGTTTGGCATTGCTGACACTGTTTGCACGTCGACAATTGGCTCCATGAGTTTCGAGGCTTGAAATACTTGGGTTGTCGTTTGATAACTACTCGCTAGAACTTGAGGTACAGTGCCAGTGACAAATTGACTCGAGGACATCACCGTATTGCTGACAATTGTTTCCAATCCGTAATACATTGGCTGACTTGATACGAACATACTGCCTGTGGAGTCGGTGAACATTTCCAAAGTTGGCGTCGAACTGAGGACCAATTGCTCCGAGGAGATCACTCCGCACTGAATTGCACTTGGTTGCTGTTGGATTATTGTTCCCAAAACTGTTGGTTGCGGTTGCGCCAATTGTACACTCGGAAGAACCGAAATACCTGTAAATAACAAATAATATAATAATTTTTACTGAAAATTTTAAAAGTAATTGAATTTTATGAAGAATTCAATTATTTTCAATAATTGTAATAAAATTCTTTGCAAAAAGTTAATTTATAAATAATAAAAATCTTCATAAAATATTCAATTATTTTTATATAAATAATAAAATTCTTATCAGGCTTTCACTAATTTTCAATACAATTTTAATTGATTTTTTCGAAAATTTCAATTATTTTTAAAAATCTTGGAAAAATTCTCCGAGAAAATTCAATTATTTAAAAAAATAATTGGATTTTTCACAGGAGTTCAATTATTTAAAAAAAACTTTTAATAAATATAAATTCAAGAATTCAATTATTTTCAAAAATAATGAAATTTTCGCTGGAATTCAATTATTTTAAATGAATTCTAGGGAAAATTAAATTATTTTTAAACATTATTTTTAAATTCTTCGAAAGATTTCAAAAACATCAATAAAAAATAGTAAATTTTTACAGGAATTAAATTATTATAGATACAGTTTTAATAAAAATCTTCTCAAAAATTAATTTATTTTTTTAAATTTTCCAAAAATTCAATTATTTTTAGAAATAATAATTTTTTTGGCAGGGATTCAATTATTTAAAAAAGTTTTAATAAAATTCTATTCAAGAATTCAGAATTTTCAGAAATAATTAAATTGTCGATGTATTGAAAATCATTGAATTCTTGTAAAGTTTTTATAAAAAAAAATTGAAAATTAAATTTAAATATTAAAATATATTAAAATTATTCATAAAAAATTTAATTCTTTTAAACTATTTTATTAAAGTTTTTGTAAATATAACTACATTTTTTTAAAGAATATTTATGAAATTTCGTATAATAAATAATGAATTTTTTCAAAGTAATTTTAATTAAAAATTTTGAAAATAATTGAAATTTACAAAGAATTTTTTTAAAAACTTTTAAGAACAATTGAATTCTTTAGAAATTTTATTAAAATTGTATTGAAAATAATTAAAATCCTGTGATGAGTTTTACAAATTATAAAAATAATTGAATTGTTTCGAAGAATTTTTATAAGAATTGTTGAAAATAATTGAATTTTTATTTAGAATCTTGAAAATAATTGAATTTAAATAATATGTTTAAAAATAATTGTATTCATTCAAGAAATTTTATTAAACTTGTATTGAAAATAATTGAATTCCCCCGAAAAATTTTATTATTTATAAAAATAATTGAATTTCTTTGAAGAATTTTATTATTTATGAAAATAATTGAATTCTTGCGGAGGATTTTACAATTCTTAATAATAATTAAATTGTTTCGAGAAATTTTATCTGAATTTTTGAATTTTTTGAAGGAATTTTATTAAAAATTTTGAAAATAATGATCTTCTTAAAAGAATTTCATCAAAATTGTTAAAAATAATTGAATTTTTATCAAAAATCTGGAAAATAATTGAATTTAATTAATATTTTTAAAAATAATTGTATTCTTTCGAGAAATTTTATTAAAATTGTATTAAAAATAATTGAATTGCTCTAAAGAAGTTTATTATTCATGAGAATAATTAAATTCTTGCGAAAATTTTTTTTTTTGAATAATAAACAAGAATAATATTATGTACTTAGTAAGTGAATTCTTTAAATTTTAAACCTGTAATCAATTCGAAAATTGATGTAATTATTCTTGAAAATATAAAATTTTTAATTTACAAAATAATAATTAATGGAAGAAGGTCTATCATTTACTAGTACAGTTAATACAGTTCAAACATCTGGATAAATGAACTTACCCCCATTTTGTAGAGCAAGAAGATTATCCGGCGTTGTCTGAATATAGGAACCAGGAACCAATTGATTCGTCGCGATGAATTGTGGTTTAAATGCCGTTTCATGTTGACCACCAATTGCCGCAATGTATTGCAAATTTTGTCCCGACTGTTGTTGTAGAGTTTCAACATAAGCCGACATGAGACTTTGTGGTGCGACCTGCTGGAGAATGACGGTGGGTGCCGCCGTTGTTTGCCTCTGCGATTGTTGTAATTGAATCATTTGTGGATTATTTTGAATCGCTTGACACCTGACATTGCCCATGTTCGTCGGTTGTCCGGAATGCCGAATAATCGGAGCCCTAATACTTTTTGTCCTCGGTTTCGGTGCTCTGGGTGATTTCACCTTTGGCGCCTTCACCGCTTGTGTGGGGACAATTTCCCTGGAGACGATATTTTGTACATTGGGTGGGGAAAAATTCTGCGCGACATTTGAAGATGAAGAATTGGAATCGGTGAGTGATTCTGGACTTGCGATTTCGGTGATTTGAACTCCGGTCTCTGGTTGTGGTGGTGGGACGACTGAAGAATTTGGAAGTGTTGTCGTGGTTCTTGTGTATTGAGTCTGGACAATCATGTCGTTGGAGGTTAATACTGTTTGGTGAACAGTTTCCACAGTTGCGTGGGTGTGCATTTGTGGGGAAATAAGTGCCTGTGCGATTGGTTCGATTTGCATATTTGGATGGGGAGAGGAAGCTTCCAGCGGGGATGTCACTTGCATGTCGGGATATTCGGAGAGAAGCGTGTGACCTTCTGAGGGTGACATTGAGGCGAATTGCGGAGACATCGAGAATGTTGAGTCGGGTGAGGCTAATTTATTATCCATCGTTTCTGAGTCGCTGTCACTTGTTGTCATGATGTCACAGTTTGCCAGATGTCGATTGTAACTGTCCACAGTTCGATAAGTGCACTGGCATCGTTTACACTTGACGGGTTGATCTCCAAGTTCTTCTGGAATCAAGTCTGGAATCGATGGACTTATCTCGTCATTTATTTGCGGATTCGGGCACTCATCATCGCTGGAAATATCATCCGCACCATCGAGTTGAGGAATTTTGAGACAAAATTTTGTTCCCGTTTCTTCGTCATGGAATTTTTTCTTTGACTCCATTTCACTGAATTTGAAGATCCTCTGGAGCCTCGATTTTAAAAGGTCTTTTGGGTCCGTTTCAGTTTCTGTTGCTTCGAGTTTGCTGTCTTGAGAAGTGTCATCATTGGCTCCGTCGAGTTGAGGCATTGAAGAGCAGTTTGGAAGAATTCTCTCCTCGAGGTTGTACTCCGGAGAGCTGCATTCACTGGCACTGCTGGCGTCCGCTGGACCATCGACCTGCACTATCCTAGGCTGCTGTCTCGCGTGCCACAAGAGATTTTTATGATCCTTCGCCTCGTCCTTAGAAGGCAAGAGTCTGCAGTTAATGCTGTTGGTGTCGTCCACACAATACTTGAGTTCCCTGACCGATTCGGAGATAATATTCGAAGTACTCGTTCGACCAACAGTCACCATGATACTGTCCGGAATTCTCAAATCATGAAACATTGACGTTCGATGATCATTTTGCGTCTCGATATTCGTATCGCTCGATTTCAAACCACAATTCCTCGGCACTTTTCTCCTCTTCGTTGGACCATAACTACTGTCCAGTTTACAACTCCATGTCAAGGAACAAGAACGTTGATTTCTCTGACCACCAACAACTTCCGATTTTGAACGTCGTACCTCTTTTCCATGTCGTTGACTCTTCGAATCAAAAACATCATCGATTAGATCCTGATCAGAATTCTTCGACTCCAACCAATTGTCGCTCTGCGAATTTGAATCCAATATCGTGTCCGTCTTGGAAGCCTTCAATTCCTCATCTGTCGGAAGCATTTCATCTTTCAGCAACTCTGTTGAAAACGCGTCGTTTTTTAAATCCATGACTAGAAAATCTTCGATGCTCATTTTCGGAAATATGTCTTGCATTGAAATGCCATCCAGTAGATCGTGGGGCAGATCTTCAAAAATAGCTTCCTTCAATTCAGGCGGCAGAAGATCTGTATTATTTTGCTCGGCAAGATTCTCATCGACCTCTTTATTACAAACCGTATCAATAAGTCCATCAAGTGTCTGTTTAACAGCCAAGAGTTCCAACTTTTGAATTCTCAACTCCTCCTCAATCTTCTGCTCTATCGAATGATCGATCGTCACATTATTCTCCAAATCAGTTGACACTTCCGGCACAAATACCTGAACGTACGTCCTGATATAATACCTGACAATTTTCAAAGGATTCACAGTCGACCAATAGAGTCTCGAGCATTTATAACCACTGGGTATGATTTTCTCCACTCCATCCGAGAATTCCGGAGAAATTGTTCCCAAACAGTCCACAGTCAATGAGCCAATCATCACCTTAACTTTATCCGGTTCGGCGAATTTCTTCTTCTTTCGATCCAATTCCACATAAACGGGCCTCTTGAGAGAAAAATCATTTTCATTCTGTATTTTCTTACTCGTACAATCGTCCGCGTGTAGAGAGCAAAACACCGTCTTGTCATCATTAAACAACATATTCACATTCCTAGCGCAAGAATAATGAAAAGTATTACTGCAATTTCTCGAACAGCAACCAACGCTCGCTCCTTTCTTTCCACACTCACTGCAACGAATCATACGTCCTCTTGAAATTGTACTGTGAACATTTTGCAGAGAACCGTCAATCTCCTCAAAAACTTCATTGGACCAAAGAGCACAATTCGAATGTACCCATTCATTTTGTCCGCAATACAAGAGACGACCTTCCTTCAATTCTTGACCATCTCCAAGACCTTTACACAAAGAACAAGATCTCGCATCCTCAATGTTTATATTACTGTAAACATTTCCCATTTTTCCTATTGATTTTGGCGATCTTAAAATTTCCTCCTTCCAAGCGTCCAAAATACTGCTGTCCAATTTCAATCCCGGTGAATCAATCTCCTTAGATGGTGTTGAAAAACTGTTCATCTCCAGGGACGAAATAAGTGTATCAAACCAAGGAAATATTTCCTTCAGAATATTATGATACGCTTCTAATAAATCCGACGCACCGATACGATTAATAACATGTTCCATGTCACAGTGAAATTGAGAAAGTGAACCATACTCGTTGCCATTGACTTTTTGCTTCACTGACAAAAGTGTTGGCGATGGTCTCGTGATAATTTGTTGCTCCGAACAATTACAATCGTTTGTTGTCTCCTGATCGTTGCCTTCCTTCAAATCACTGGGGTTTTTCATTTTTCCATTACAATCCTTGGTGTGAATTTTTTGCCGAAGTCTTCGTAAACCACGTCTGGGAATATCTGCTGGTTGCTCATCTAAATCGCCTGAAAATCTACTCAGTTCCCCTTTAAAACTACAACTTGCGTTTGATTCACCTGCTAATTTATCAATCATGCCATCTTCAATGTCATCGTTTATACTGTTTCTATTTGTCAAACACAAGTCGAATTTTTCATCGAAATCCAATTTTCTTATTGTTGGAAGCGGTCGACATAGACACTCTTTTCTTGGACTCCATTGAAGAGCTGCGCACATTTTTCGATTTTTGCCCAAAGCTTTCACGACGGCTATAAATCCTGTCTTGAGTTCAGCCTCGATTGCATTTCGCCAAATTGAATTCGGATTTGACGAGCATTGACGACAGGTGAATTCAATTGTATCTGGTAGATAGCTGAGGATTTGATAGCGTTCATCTGAAAGACCTTCGCAGTGAGCGTGAACCCAACAGGAGCATTCGTTGCATTCCATCATCTGAAAAGCGAAATTATTCGTTGTTAATTAAAACTTAAGTAAATTAATTATATAAGATATTAATTAATTAAATAGGAAAAATTAAATTATGAATTTTATTAAAACTAATGAAAATAATTGAATTTCGCAGAAAAATTTTATTATTTATAAAGATAATTGAAATCTTGATAAGAATTTTTGTAAAATTTAATTTTTAAACATAATTGAATTTCTGCGAAGAATTATACAACTTTTGAAAATAATTGAATTCTTGAGACGAATTTTATTAAAATTCCTCTTTAAATAATTGAATTTTTTTGTGAAATTTTATTGAAATCAGTAACATTAATTTTGAAATATTGAAGTAAAATTAAATTTCAAGAATAAACACAATAACTTTATAAAACAACAATTTTCCAGGATTTCGATCAAAATTCCCTGACTTTTTCAGATTTTTTCAAGGTTCAAGGCAACCCTGAATTTATATTATAGGAAAATTTACCTTAGTGTCAAAATCATTTTCGTTGTAGCATCTTTGACAAAGTGGACAATAATTTCCTCGTTGACGTAACTTGAAGCACATGGAGCATAGTGGAAGGTTTCCCACGTAAACACTGACGCCTTCACTTCCGCAGCTTTTGCATTTTATGCAACTTTGACACACGTACGGTCTATCGGGACTGTATAATCTTGCACTGACACCTGACTTTGGAAAACATGAGTAATGAAAAGATTGCCGACATCTGATGCAGGATAATTTTGTTCCCGATCGAAGTTGACATGTCTGACATACTGTACATCGTGGACAACACCAATTTGGTTGAATACAAGCGTTCCATTCGCTTGGCTCCAAACAAAATATATGGTATGGCTCACAACAGCACTGACAATGAATAAGCTGAAAGAAAAATTTAAATCAATAAATACATCCTCTAGAAATAAAAAATACACTTTCAATTATCAAATTTAAATTTTCATCAAATTTCTAACTACATAAACGAATTTGAAAATAAATAAATATGAGAAATAAATAATGAATATTATTAAAATTAATAATAAATGTTAATTAAACAATAAAAATACTAAATATTAAAAAATATTTGATTGTTTTAAATATTTAAATATTACACTCGGTTGTTTTAAATATTTAATAAAATATTGAATTTACTGACTCGGAATGATCGTTAAATTCAATGTTCTATTAAATAAATAATAAATATTAATTTAATTTTAAAAATAATAAACAAATTCAATAAATAATAATAAAATATTAGAAATAATAAATAATAATTAATAAGTAAAAAAGTAAATGAAAGTGTAAAAAAATAAATAAAAGAACAAACAAATGTGTCTAATTGAACTGCCGGATTATTGTATAAATAAACATGCAATCAAAATTGTAAATTCAAAAAAAAATTAAAATATCGAAAAATAGTACATATTTTGCATGAATCATTGAAATTGTACATAACGAGATTTTCAATTACAATGAAATTATAATCAAGAGATTAAAATCAAGCTTAAAAAGTTTTATATAACATAAAGCTATTACTTCCAACAATGTTAAATCTCTTCAAGCTTAACAAAACTCTAATTAACAGCTCAATGTTATATAAATCATTTTAATTGTTTTGTGAATTTCCAACAAATTTTGCGTTGGCAATATGAAAATTTAATGTTACATAAAATTTGCCGTTTAAAAATAGTAATTTTCAAAATAAATAAAAATAAGTAAAAAATTATTCTATTTACTTCAATTGAATAAAAAAATGTGTCCTTTTAATTAAAATTAACTTACATAAGATATTTTATTTTTAAATATCAACTTCAATTTTTGAATAATTTCAGAATCAAAATTAGAAAAAATTCATTTGTTAATTAATTAACTAATTAATAGTTTTTATTTTACTATTTTTGAAAACTTTAATAAAATTCTTTAAAACAATTTAATTATTATTATCAAAAATTTTAATAAAATTCTTTTTACGAATTCAATTATTTTGAAAAACTTTAATGAAATTCTATGCGGGAATTAAATAAAAATTTGAATTAAATTAATTAAATTAGTTAAATTTAAATAAATAGAATTTAAGTTAGATTAATTTAAAAGAATTAAATAATTTAAATTAAGAATAAGAATAACAAAAAAAAACTTTAGAATCAAATTAGAACAAAATTGATATATAATTTCTAAAAATTTCAAACTACAATTTTTTTGAACGCAAATTACAAAATTAAAAAACATTTAATTTAGTTATAAAATGATAATGAAAAAAAGGTTCTTACCGGCTCTTTACCAGCACTTCCGCACAGAAAACAAATGGCAGGAATGTGAAATAGTTCGGAGCCAATGAGTGCAAATCCTTTCGCTCCAACCTGAGCTGGATCATATTGCTCCCAAAAGTCGATTGAAACAGTGTGAACTGTTTCTGCAATCTGCTTCGGCAATGATCGTTCCTGAAATTTATTTTTGTGTCATTAAAATGTAAACGAAAATTTAAATCAAAAAGGAAAAATTAATTATTAAGTAATCAATGTTCAAAGTTTTAAAAAACAAATCGGTTTTTTTTTACAATTTATTCCATGATTTAATCGATTATAAATTTGAATTCAATTCAAAGAATAAACGATTAAGTTCAAAATTATAAACAATTCTTGTTTATAGATTGAATTGTTTATAATTTTGAATTAAATCGTTTAAGGTTTGAATTCAATCGTTTATAGTTTTGAATTAAATCGTTTAAGGTTCGAATTAAATTGTTTAAGGTTTGAATTCAATCGTTTATAGTTTTGGAATTCAATCGTTTTTAATTTTGAATTAAAGCTTTTATAAATTTGAATTGAATCTTTCGTAATTTGGAAATTGTTTAATAATTTTTCGATTTAATATAGTGGAGGACTTACCACAGAAACATTCGCTGCCAAATTATTTTGATTCTTGCCTCTTCTCGATTGTAATTGCGGATTGGAATTAATATTGCAAATAATACCCTCCTGATTAGATTTATTCGTCTCCTTTTCCCTGGTAACTTCCTCCTTTCTATCATTTTTCTCACCATCCTTTTGTCCCCTCAGTGCAATTTTACTGACCTCAACATCGTCCTTGCCATCAGGTGATGGAAACGTAGCGATCGGTTGTCCAAGTGCAACACTCGCACTTCTACACACATGCTTCACTCTCGGTCCTTTTAATTCTACCCTTTGTCTCGATGCCACTTGACCCTTATTAAACGTCGTTGGAACAACAGAAGGATTTTTCATTTTCTTACGCACCTTTATTCGATTTTCCTTTTTACGTTTCTTTATTGGCGACACTGACGCTGGATAATCAAATTTATCAGTTTTCTTCGTCAAAAAACCACCAAGACTACCACCATGGTAATTGGATTTCTGTCCAAGTTCCATATTATTCCAATTCATTGCCGATTTAAATAAATTCTTCTCCAAACAATCCTCATTAGGCCATCCCATATTGCAACCAATCAATTTTTGATTTTGCAAATCACTATCAACGTCTAGACACAATGGCAATGATATTGTCAGTGGATCTCTCATTAATGGTGGGAGCATTGCGTTTAAACCAGTACGCAAAATAGGGGGTATATTGTAGCATTTTAAGCACATTTTTAACCAACACGCTGGACATCGTGCTTTATAGACGCATCTCATGAGATTCCATTGTTGACTTCTTACAACCGGTGGCACTAGACACAATCCATCGCCTTTGTGACATTGAAGGCATGTCAGTGTATTGTTTGTCGATTTAGCGCAAGCCTGACGTTTTATCATTTTGCTGATGAATTTTCTACACGACTCACAACTGTAGATGCCAAATTTACGTGCCTGCTTCACGAAACGATAGAATCTCACTGCTCCACAAACGCCACATTTCACCGTTCCAGTGAGTCCTGAAAATTTTAAGAAAGAAAATTTCTTTTAATATAGGTATTGAAATTATTTATCAAATATTAAATTAAAATACTTTGAAAATTCGATTTGTTAAAAATTTTTTAATGGAATTCTTTAACAAATTTAATTATTTTCAGTTGAATATGACAAAATTTCTATTAATTCGATAATTTTTTTTTAATTTATGAAGTTCAATAATTTTCAAAAGACTATTTTTTACCTAATTTCTAAATTAAATAATTATTCATACTTGAATAAGTTTTGTTCAATAAAAATATAAAAACTTATTTATTTTTATACAGAAATTTAAATTTTAAATAATTTTAATGTAAAAGCTTTTTAAAATTTAACTTATTCTTAAAAGTTTATACTATAATGCATTTAATATTCAATTTTAATCTAAAACTTTAACTTAAATTCATTTTTAAATCAATTTTTATTAAAAAGTTCTACAAGAATTCTATTATTTAAATAAAAAAATTAATAATTGATAGAATAATTGTTTGTGAAGAATTTTATTATTTATGAAAATAATTGAATTCCTGCAACTAATTTTATTACATTTTTTTGAATCATTTTAAGAAAATTTAAAAGAATAATTCAATTATTTCGAATAATTTAATTAAAATTGTATTAAAATTTAAAAATAATTAAATTCTTACAATGAATGTTGTTATTTATGAAAATAGTTAAATTATTGCAACAAAATTTATTAAATTTTTTGAATCAATTTTAGAAAATTTAAAAGAATAATGATTAGAATTGTAATTTAAATTTAATGCTAATTTTTTTAATTTTAAAATTTAATCTTGAAAATTGTATAATTTTAGAAAATAATTAATTTTATTTAAAGAATTTTTTAAAAATATTTTAAATTTAAATTTAATGTCAATTTTTTATTTAAAAATTTTTTTTCTTGAAAATTGTATTTCAAATACATTGAATTCCAGTGCAAAATTTTATTATTCATGATATTAATTGGATTTTTGCTTTGAATTTTATTCTTCAAATTTTAATAATTGAATTTCTTTAAGAAATTTTATTAAAATAGTAGATATTGAAAATATTTGAATTTTAGCGAAGAATTTAATTATAATTGAAAATAATTGAATTCTTGCGAAAGATTTTCCAAAATTTTTTTTTAATTATTCAATTCTTGCAACGAATTTTGTTAAATTTTTTAAAATAGTTAAATATGTTGAAAGAATATTATAATTATATTATGGAAAATAATTAAATTCCTTTAAGGAATTAAAATAAAATTGAAATGAAAATAATTTACTTTTTATAAAAAACTTTAATGAAATTTGTCATAATAGGTAATTCAATTCTTTTGAAGAATTTCATTAAATACTTTAAAAAACAGTTAAATTTCGTACAGAAAATTTATGCAAATTTTGTTGAAAATAATTGAATTCCTGCGAAGATTACAGTTGTTTAGGAAAATAATTGAATTCTTTCGAAGACTTTTATTATTTATAAAAATAATTGAATTTCTGTAAATAATTTTATTAAAATTTTGTGAAATTATTAAATTTCTACGAAGAATATTATTATTTAGGAAGATAATTGAATTTTTGGCAAGAATTTTATTAAAATTTTTCAAAATAATTGAATTTTTGCGAAGAATTTCATTATTTTTTGTGAAATTAATTGAATTCTTGCGAAAGATTTTCCAAACAATTTTAATAATAATTGAACTTTTTTGAAGAATTTTAATAAAACTTTTTAAAATAATTACATTGCTCAAAGAATTCATTTATAATTGTATTGAAAATAATTGAAATCCTGTGAAGAATTTTAATATTTATTAAAATAATTTATACTCGCAACGAATTTTATTAAATTTTTTTAAACAATTGAATTTTTTTTTTAATCATTATATGAAAATTTAAAAGAATAATTCAATTATTTTGAATAATTTAATAAAAATTGTATTGAAAATAATTGAATTCTTGAGATGAATTTTATTTCATATTTCAATTTTATTTAATAATTTTTTAATTCTTATAAACAATAATTGTTAAGAAAATTTTAGAAAATAATTCATTTCTTTCAAAGAATTTTTTGAAAATATTTTTAAATAATTGAATTTTATCAAAATTTTTGAGAATAATTTTTTTATCTCAACTTGTAGCGAATTTAAAGTAGTGCAAATTTTTGAAAAAAATTAAAGAAAAAAGTATCTTTTAGTGTCACGAAATTAATAAAAGTATCCAAATAAGTAGCTAATCGTAGAAAAAATAATAAATAGTAGTTTTCAGTAGATGAGTACAAAGCCTGTAAATCGTAAAGTTTAATTCATAAATATTGTAAATAACTAATTAAAAATAAATTCCAAAAAAAAGAGTTCACCTGTGTTTGGACTTCCATTCGAGCCACATTGAACATTCGCCATTGAGAAAGGTCCCTCAGTACCACCCAGAGTCTTGTTATCTAATTTCAATCTCGCCTTTCTTAAAATCACCTTTCCTCCACTTAATTTTGTCCCAGTCCATTCGGATTGTTCGTCCTCGGAATTATTGCCATGATCACTGCCACTTTCCGATAGTGAACTCTCCGAATCAAAATGATCACCACCATCCGTTTTACAATTCGTTGCAATATCATCACTCTCGTCATGAATATTTTTCTCATCCTTTACACTATTACTTTCACAGTTGATATTATTATCATCACTGGATATTGTTAATTCAACATTATCAGGTACTTTCGGGGAAGGAATATGACTGTTGGACGCATTATTAAGAGCTCCTGATCTTGTTTGAATTCTGGAAGACTCTGAATTTGGAATATTAACATCCGGAAGAACTTTAATGGGAATAGAATTATTCTTTTGACATTGCGAGGCAAGTGATTGTAGGTCATTGAAATTTTTACCAGTTTGAATTTTTTGTTTCGAAATTGATGAAATTTGTGTTTTTTGTGATATTTTCAATGTTTGTGCGTTTGTTAATTTTTCATTGCATTTTGATTGTGAATTTTGAGCACTCAATATTGAATGAGCGGGGAATTTTTTGAATTTTGTTCTTGTTTCTTTTTCGTTTGTTGTTGAATTTTCATCGTCTTTTCCTTTTTTCGCTTTTTTCGTTTGCTTGACATCATTTTCACTGTGCTCCGTTGTTGATTTCTCCTCTAATTCTTCGATAAATCTTTTGTTTGGTTTTATCACACGGGATGAATGTGCACTGCGTATTGGCAAAACAAATTTTCGTACATTGACAGATTTATCGTTAGATTGTACCTGTTGACCACGAGAATTTGAATTGTTTGATTTTGCCTTTTGAAGGAGACGTTTCGCTGTACTGTTTCTCAATTGCCTGGTACGATGATGTCGATCGAGAATATTATTTACTGATTTTAAAACCGGTGTTTTGACAAAATTGGAAAATTTTTCAATTTTCTCATTTTTATTTCCTTTTGTCGACGACGACGATGTTTCTTCTTCACTGGAATTATCAACTTTCGTTGATTTTGCTTCTAATTCTTGGATTTTTATTGGATCTTTATTCTCTTGCACATCGTTTTTATCATTTTCTTTTACACTCGAGGAAGTTTTTGCATTTTTTACATTGTCCTCGTCAATACTGCTTGAGGAGGGAAGATTCTCATCTGAACAAGACGACAAGTCCTTCGGATTATTTTTTCCATCTTGCTGTTGCGTTTTTATGTATGACGCAGATAATTTAGCCTCTTTGCTGCTGAAACCGTGAAACGGTGGATGTTCCTAAAAAAAAGTCTTTATTTACTTTCTAGTAGAAAATTTTATAAATATAAATAAATTCAGTTGAAAAAATTATCACAAGTGTTTTGTAAAAAAACTGGTTTTCAAATGTTGATAAAGAGAAGAATCACAGTAGTTTAAGAGAAACAAATATTAATTGCGACAGTAAATAAGGATTTAGCTCATAAATTTTATGGAATATTTACTCAAACTTTTTAATCCCTCATTTTCTAAAGTGGAGGGTTCCGTTTACTCACGAGATTATACCCCTAACAAATATCGACTTTCTTTCCTTTGTTTACAAATTAGAGTGATTTATTTCTGACACTCGTTATTAATAAGAGTTACGACATAATTCCAAAAAACAGATAATTATTTTTAACGCCTCTAATGAATAATTCAATAAAGTCAGTAGAAACAATCAGTTACAAATTGGGAATGTGCCATTAACATAGATACTGCCAAATTGCCCAATTAAAAGAAAAAATTTTGTATCTAAAATTAACTTCGCAATCACTGTATAAATATTCCTAATTCTTCGTTTTCGAATTCACAAATTAGAAATATAAAAAAGAAATAAACTAAAATAATATTATTTCTAACGTAATTGTATTTAACATAATTCAAAACATAAACTGGAGCGAATTTCAATAACACAAATTTTGACGTCTAGAAATTCGCGTAAACTTTCCATAGCGAAATTCAAAATTACCGCTTTGTAGGAGAAAAAAAACAAAAACAACTTCACTCAAAACGACAAATCACTGAAATAGGAGGAAACTTTTCGAAGCAATGCAGCATATACATCAATAACAAGTGAAGATAGACCAAAAATTTACAGTAGGGCCTAACAAAGTACACAAAAGATCAACAATAAGCTTTGTTACGATAAAAGAGCGCATCAAAAATTGAAGCGCTCTGAAATGGCATTAGAGGTTAGGAAACCTTTGGAAATAGAATTTTACATGAGAGAATTAGAAAGGAACATTACAAGTAAGTGCAACTCATCAACAAGAAGATTGAGGACTCTTATTTAACGAAATTCTCCACATCGGCGTCCGGAGCCTTTCGCATATAGAAATCAAACATTTGACATGAATCGTATATAGGAGACTTTTTTTTCCCCACATCGGCTCCTTATGCGTCACCCTTACAACGCTTATAAACACTCACAACACAATTTTAAAATCATAAAAAAAGAACAAATCACTGGAAATTGACAAGATGCGTTCATTATGATTTGCGCGGTATATGCGCGACATATAGAGAGAGGCGCGAATTACCTTTTCGTTGTCACCGAACGTCTCATTGAACAGGGAAAGTCCGTAGTAGATGTTCTCGGCGACGGTTACGGAATCACTTTGGGTTGCTTCTGGCCATGCGAGAACTTTGATACGCTTCCTGGTGACCGTCTTTGGCGGTTTCCCGGGAAATTTAGACCTTCCCATGTTCACTCTTTCTCAACGATCAAATTGTGAATCCATTTTACGCGATATACTCGCCGAGGCGCACTACCACTCTCTCCAAATACTCATTCGGAGCTTTGGGACATCGGTTAAATTCGTTTAATCTCGGAATTACTCGGCAACGACACCAAACGCGCGGATTATCAAATGGGGGAAATACGTACGTTGTTGGATAAAAATCTTACTGTATATTATATTATATACACAACACACGATGCTCAAGTGAAACACTAGTGAAAGAAGTTTCGCGGATCGCTTGTATCATCGGCATTGACTCAAGAAAATAACCTTGGACTTGAGGCCATTGCTTTGTCTCTCACGAAAAATTGGTCCCTTTCAAAACTTTTTTTTTCCACGTCTGATTTCACTTAATTCCAAGGTCACTTGTCAGTTTTTCAAATGAAGGGCGCAACCCTTACGCTTTTTTAAATATAAAAAAGGGTGCTCTAGAGAGATGTTAAGATACAATTTAAGCCTGATATTACTAACGAGATGCATGCAGCGTATATTTTTATTTAATTCCAGGGTCACACTTTGTCCACTTTTTTTTCTTTTTTTTTTTACTTTTTTCTCCTCTTATATTTGTCTGAAGAAAATTCTGTATTAATTTATTATTTATTAATAATTCACTTATTTCTCGAAATTTACTTTAAATTGTCAATGAACAATTTGTAACATTTCTGTTACTAATTCAAGGTTATTTTTTCTAATTTTCTTAAATTAGGATAAAAAAATCCAATATAATAGTTTTTAAAGAATAATCACCAATATTGAATTTCTGGTTATTAAATAAAAAACAAGTAGAATTAATAACAAACGAAATGCTTTTTTAGAAAACCGAAAATTGTTAAGTTTGGCATTTAAATGCTCCTCAGGGATGTACTAATACATTTAGGTGCCATTCACAACGTTATAATCTATATTAAATATTTTTTTCATTACTTTTTATTACTTTCGATCATTTGAAAAATTGAAATTTAGAACTTAACTTACTTTTGGTAATAATTCTTGGTATATATTTTAAAAGTCTAAAATATCTAGTGAGTTCTCAGGTCCCTTCAACACTTGATACGTTACTGACTACATTCATGTACGTTATTATGTAAATGTGTTTGTAATTATGTATATGTTGGCACATATCAGTCCCACTTTCTTATTAAGTTGATCAAAGTTCATTCAAAGTTAATTTAGAATTTCTAACTTGTAAAAAGCTGTTATTTATCAGTAATAAGGGAAAGCAAGAAAAAAAATACTCTGCCCTAAAGACAAAATTATTCGACAGAAATAACGACAAATTATTTCCAAGTTGGATGGAATTAAAATTCAAGAGCAAGGGGACATAAAGATTTGTTTCCTTTATTTTTTATCATAAATTCTGGTAAGTCCACTATAAATGTACTTTTGCTGAAAGAAATAATTTAATTGGTAACACAATAACAGACTGTAAAAAATTAGAAACCTAACCTAACTTTTTTCAATTGTTAACAAATAATAACAATGTAATCAAAACTATTTTTGTTATCTCAATTTTTGATTATTGTAGTTAATTTTTTTTATTAATATTATTATTATTATTATTACTATTTTTGACCTTTTTTCTTTTTTCATTTTTTTCAGTTGTGTTATTATTTGTTAATTTGCTGGTCAATTTAAATTTTATTATCAGGGTTGACACAGGTCAGTGAAATCAGGGAATAATTTATTTTAAAATAACTTAATTCTATTGAAGAACTGCCATAAAATTATTACTTTGACTTTACTTGAAATTAATTTCAATTCTGTTGAAATTAGTTTCAATTTTTTAAATTTTAACGCAATTCGCTTTGAAAAAATTCAACTGTCTTAATAAATATCAAAATTCTTTCTAGAAATTCAATTATTTAAAAAAATTCTCGTCAATATTTCAATTATCTTTATAAATAGCAAAATTCGATTATATTCAAGAATTTTAATAAAATTCATTGCAAAATTCAATTATTTTCACAAATAACAATATTTATCACAAGAATTCAATTATATTCAAAATTAATATAATTCTTCGCAGAATAATTATTTTCAAAAATTCTAATAAAATTGTCGTCAAAATTTCAATTATCTTTATAAACGAATAGAAAAATTCTTCGACATATTCAATTATTTTCAGGAATTAAATAGATTAAATTATTTAAAATAGGATTTGCAGAAATTTTTTCAAAAAAAGCAAATGTTTTAAAATTTGATATTAAATTCTCCTCAGTAATTCAATTATTTACACAAATTTTAAAATTCCTTTCAGGGATTTAATTATTTTCATAAATAACAATATTCATCACAAGAATTAAATTATTTTCAAAAATTTTAATAAAATTCATTGCAAAATTTCAATTATTTTCAAAAATTTTTCTTAATTCAATAATTTGTATATCTATTATTTTAATAAAATTTCCCAAAAGAAGTTAATTATTTAAAAACAATTTTGACATAATTCTACACGAATATTCAATTATTTTCTAAAATAATGAAAATTTCTCAGGAATTCAATTATTAAAAATAAAATTTGCATAAATTTTTTCGAGAAAAGTCAATTGTTTAAAACTTGTTTTTTTTATAAAATTCTTCGCAATAATTCAATTATTTTCCTAAATAATAAAACTCATTGAAGAATTTCAATTATTTTTAATACAATTTTAATTTTATTTAAATTTGTCGAAAGAATTCAATTATTTAAAAATTTATTGATAAAATTATACGTATAAGAATTCAATTTTAAAAAACATTCAATTATTCAATAAAAAATTATTATTTAAATAATTAAATTCTATAGTAGAATTTTCTAATAAAAATTGATTTAGAAATTAATTTCAGTTAATGTTTTACATAATTGAATTTTGGAGAAAAGACTAATAATTGAAATTTTTAGAAATAATTGAATTTTGTAAAAGTTTCAAATTAAAATCCTTATGATAATTTGAATTTTTCATTCTTTTAACTAACAATTACGTGGAATTAATTTTTTTTGAGAAAAGTTTAATTAATTTTTTGAGAAAATTATTTGAAGTTTTGATTGTCTACACTGAAAAAAAATTTATTTATTTAATTGAATCAAATAATATTTATTGGAGTCAATTAAATATTTAATTGAATCAAATAATATTTTTTGGAGTCAATTAAATGGTATTTGCTTAAAATACTGAAATTGGTTCAAATATGATTTAATTAATTCGAATAAATATTTGATTCGAGTAAATATTTAATTGATAATAGTCAATTAATCGGTTATTTGAGTCAAATAAATTTTTGTTTCAGTGTAATGCATATTTAATTGGAGAATTTCCGAATAATCGAAATTTCTGTAAAATTGAATTATAAATAATTTTACAATTAAAGAAATTCGTAATAGAACATTTTTTTGTGCGTCTAATTTAGAGTAAATCAGAATATTCTTCAGGGTCAGGGAAAAAGTGAAAATTTTCTCTGTAAATCAGGGGAAAAAAACTAAATGTTTATAGCAACCCTGATTATCCTTGACTAATCTTGTTCCTTTAGTTTTTATTGGGTATTATTTATTGTTGTTGTCTTTTTTTTTGCAGAGCGGATTTTAAAAGAGTGTCAGGAATGTCAAGGGTGTATAAACTTGTTTCACATGTTTCGAAGAGAGCATACAGTGCGACGACAACAACAACCTTCCCGAAAATAACAACTCATTATACAGTCGTTCCACGAGAGAACGATCCACGATGGAAAGAGGTCAATATGGAAAGGTACGTGGACGAGACGGATATTTTAATTGTAGGTGGTGGTCCAGGAGGGATGTCAGCGGCAATTCAAGCGAGAAAAATTGCTCAGGAACGTGGCAAGGAATTACGTGTGACACTCGTTGAGAAATCATCGACAATTGGTGGTCATATTTTAAGTGGTGCTTGTATCGATCCAATTGCACTTAATGAATTAATACCAAATTGGGAGGAATTGGGAGCTCCTTTGAAAACGCCAGTGACTAAGGATAAATTTGCATATCTCACGGAAAATGGTAGAATTCCAGTGCCAATATTTAAAGGTATGCCAATGTATAATCATGGAAATTATGTCGTTCGTTTAGGTCACGTTGTCGCTTGGCTTGGCGAGCAGGCAGAAGCGGCTGGTGTTGAACTTTATCCCGGCTATGCAGCAACGGAAATTCTCTATCACGAAGATGGTTCAGTGAAGGGAATTGCGACGAACGATGTTGGAATTGCAAAAGACGGCTCACCGAAGGAGATTTTCGAACGTGGAATGGAATTGCATGCGAAATGTACAATTTTCGCTGAAGGCTGTCATGGACATTTGGCAAAGCAATTGATGAGTAAATTTAATCTTCGCGAGGAATGTGAATCGCAAACTTATGGTATTGGTCTCAAGGAAATATGGGAAATTGATGGAGCGAAGCATTCGCCAGGTTTAGTTGAACATACGGTTGGATGGCCTTTGAATAAAAACACCTACGGTGGTTCGTTTTTGTATCATTTGAATGAAGACACTCCTCTAATTGCCATTGGTTTTGTTGTTGGACTAGACTATCAAAATCCATATTTAAGTCCTTTTAGAGAATTCCAAAAGTTTAAGCATCATCCGTCAATTAAGTCGACATTGGAGAATGGAAAGAGAGTCGCCTATGGAGCACGTGCCCTCGTCGAAGGAGGTTTTCAATCAATTCCAAAACTACAATTTCCAGGTGGTTGTCTAATAGGTTGCAGTGCGGGATTTTTGAACGTTCCGAAAATAAAGGGAACGCATAATGCAATGAAAAGTGGAATGCTCGCTGCTGAAAGTGCAATTGACGCGATTATCAAAGCGGAGACTGAGAATTCTGCAACAAAGGGTCTAACGCCTGAGAATTATGAGGGAAAAATCAAAAATAGTTGGATATACAAGGAATTGAAGGCGGTGAGAAATTTCCGACCGAGTTTTCATTCACCACTTGGATTATTCGGTGGTATTTTATATTCCGGATTGTCCATGATTTTAGGAGGTAGAGAACCGTGGACATTGTCTCATGGTGGTCCAGATTATAAGAAACTAAAACCTGCCGCAGTTTCCACACCAATTGAATATCCGAAACCGGATAATAAAATAAGTTTTGATTTATTGTCATCGGTTGCACTCACGGGAACGAATCATGAAGCCGATCAACCAGCACATTTAACCCTCATGGACGATACAGTTCCGGTGATGAAGAATTTGGCAATTTTCGATGGACCCGAGGGACGTTTTTGTCCTGCCGGTGTTTATGAATTTGTTCCACTTGAAAATGACGATGGACAACGTTTACAAATTAATGCACAAAATTGTATTCATTGTAAGACATGTGATATCAAAGATCCAAGTCAGAATATTAATTGGGTCGTTCCTGAAGGTGGAGGTGGTCCCGCCTACAATGGCATGTAAAAAAAAGAGCGAAATATTAGTGCCTTATTTTAAAGGCAACTTACAATTGTTTTAGAGTGTCAATTAACATTTATTGACAAAATTTTATCATTTTTGCATAATTGAAATTAACAAAAATGATTTTTATCTGTATTTCAATTGTATTTCAATTTAAAGCAGATAAAAAATGGCTATAAGTGAGATTTAAGCTCGATACAAATAGTTATATAAGGAAAAAAGGGGGAATAATTAATTAAACAAATTAAAACGACTGAGAATGAAAAAAAATGATAAGATTAATTATGAATAGAAATTTTAACTACTTACGTAACTAAAATATGAAACGAAATACAAAAGAACGCAAAATGTTTTCAACAAATATTTTTTATAAGAGTTTTTGATAACTAGTAAAAAAAAATAGAAATAATAATGTAAAACTGTACAAATTTTCTAAATTTTGTGATATGTTTACATTGATTCGTGACTATTTTGATTAGTTCATTTCAATTAATTTTAATTAGTAAATTTCAATTAATTCATTAGTTCAATGTTAATTAGTTAATTTCAACGAATTTTAATTAAAACTGTTGTTAAATAAATTATTAAATTAAAAATTTTAAATTGTTAAATTTAAAATTGAAAACTTTTAATTTTAAATTCAATTAAAATTAAAATTAAATTCAATATTAAATTTAAATTCTTTCAATTGTTGTTAAAATATTTATTAATTAATAACACTGGTGAAAATTTTAGTTCAATTGATGAAATAATTAAATTCTTTCGTAAAAGAATTAATTACAATACGAAAGAAAAAAATTGATTTGTTTATTAATATCAATTTTTTTTGTATATATATACAAAAATTTATCATAATTATCTACTTATTTTTATACATATTTTTATAAAAGTCTTTCTAACAATTGTGTATTAAAATGTTTAATTTGTACATAAATACTTGAATGAAATACAGAAAAGTTTTATCGAATTACTGTTTTTATTATTTAAAAAATGACCTTTTTTATTTTTAAATAAACAAGATTATAACAATTATTATTTTAATCAAAATTTTGAAAAAATGCGCGTAAAAATTTTCTGTACATGCGCAAAAATGAAGAGTTTAGAAAAAAGTCGTCTGCTGTTTTTTTACACACATCATTTGTATACATTTGTCGAACACGTTTATGAAAGTTTATTCAAAATCTTTTCTATTTAACCATAAAAAAGTTTATTTAGTTTCGAAAAATAGACTTGTGAAAATTAAATGCATATGTTATTTTGCGTAGAAGATAATATTTGTTCTGGTTACATAAATGAAATTATCTCATCAAGTCTTCATAACCTAAAAATTTCAAAGTATGGTAAGAATTTATATTATTTGTTAATTTTTATTAATAATTGTATTAATTGTTTCCATTTTAAGCTAAAATTGGTTTTTGTAAAAAGATCCTGTTTCAATAATTTAAATTTATAACACAATTCTTTGTTCTTGATGTGAAGCAACAGAAAATATGTAATGTTATTGTTCATTAATCTAACAAGACATTATTTTAGTTTAATAATAATTATGTTGCAATTGGGTTTTAATCGAGTGTCATCTGATTGGGATAAACAACCAATTTGGTATCTAGGTAACAAACGGGAACAATGAATTGTCTTTTTTGTAGTTTTAAAAGCACATGTCAAATACATAACCAGCCAGTCAAAAATCGTATTTACTCCAATTTGTATTTTATTCTTATTTTTATAGAAAGAGAGAAATAAAATTACTTTTTCTAATGTGTATGTGACATTCTTTTATTTTTATGGAAACGCATTATATTTTTACAAAATTGCAAGTAATTTATGTTAATTTTATATTATTATTATTTGAGATATTTTTTGTGTCCGTGTTTTTCTCTAAATGTAAATTTTGTTGGTTTTAATGCCAATATTATAGATTATATGATATTAATATTATTATTTATCTTTTGGCTCTTTTTATTTTTAATTTATTTGTTATTTTTTTAGATACTAGATGTTCCTTTACGTAAAGTCGATCGAGATAGCTGAACATTATGAAGATGCTTACAGGAAAACAATTACAGAGGTTGGAAAAGAAAAAGAAGAAAATGGCAGCTTTATTAGAAATAACAAAATTAAACGACAAGGACAGAGAAGCAAAAGCGCTTAAGCAAATCGTAGGTTCTTTTATTAAAATCCTAAAACAAATTTCTATCTTTTGGATTATTTATAACTTTTTGTTTTGTTACAAGGAAACACAAATAAATATGTTGAATCAAAATGATAATGACAGTATGAGTGGAATAATTTCCAATCGGAAACGACCTTGCGATGAGCCTCTAAATACCACTAGTCCGGAAATTATTAAACAGGAACAGGAAAGTCCGGAAAAATCTGTGGAAACCGAAGGAGTTAGTAGCAAAAAGCCGAGGTAATTAATATAGTAATTTTAATTATTATACTAAATTATTATCATTTTTCCTTTTATTTTTTTCTTTTAGTTTTTTCCTTTAGTTTTATTCTTTTAATTGCTTTTCCTTTTTTCTTTTTAGGTTTTCCTTTTATTCTTTTCTTTTAGTTTTTTCCTTTAGTTTTATTCTTAATTGTTTTTCCTTTAGCTTTTTTCTTTTAGGTTTTCCTTTTATTTTTTTCTTTTAGTTTTATTCTTTTAATTGTTCTTCTTCAGTTTACTAAACCAGCGAATATTAAAAATGTTTTTTAGATACAAATATTTAATTTTTTATTGTAGATTAAGTGGCGAGGAATATGAACGATTGAAAGAGGAATTAAAAGAACGAAGACAAAGGTTAAAAGCGATTCCACGGATTTGTCTGAAAAAAATTGGAGAAGATGCTGCATTAAATATGGATGAAAATGACAATGACAATGGGAGAATTCCACTATTTTTAAGTGACATACAACACCTTTTGTTATATTCTCTTATTGGTAATCGTTCACCTTATTTACCGAACAGATGGTGTAAAGTCGATAAGTACAATAAGGTAAATAATAAAATTCCACAATTATAATATTTATTTCAACTCTTTCCCCATTTTTTAATCTTTATGAAAATTTTATTTACTATATTTCTTATTACTATTATTGAAATTACTTTTATTATTCTTATTCTTATACTTATTCTTATTCCTAATTTATTTTTTTGATTCTAGTTGTCACATACGGTTCTGATTATTGTTGAGGGCGTTTCTCTCGATCACTACTTAGCTCATGAAAATTCATTTCCTCTTATAACGACACATTTGAAGCACAAATTGGAACTCGTCACACCAGCAGCTCACGGAGGATCGATCGTCGAAGAAATTGTAGCCGTCCCTCTAACAGGAGAGCATAATCATAAATTAATTCACGGTAAGAATATTTTAAGTCGGTAAATAATTTTTTTTTCAATTCTATACTATTTCTTTAATTTCGTTTCTTTTTTAGAATTTGGCTCTTTGGAAACTGCGATGAAGTCCAGAGGAGACTTGGTTCGATTACTAAAAACGGTATTTCCAATGCTTCCCCAGGTGAATTATAATGCAAGAGAACAATCGGAAGATGATATTTCACAATTACCAGAAAGCGACAAGTTCTCGCGAACTAAACTTCTTTTATCGCCTCATCAACTTCTCGATGAACAATATCCCGTGCCTCTTCAGGGAAAACTAGCCAATGAGTCAGTAAATTTTTTTTCTACATTAATCCAAAATTAATCCGCATTAATCTTAATTTAATCTAAAATTAATTTAAGATTAAGCTAAACTTAATTCAAGATTAAACTAAATTTAATCTAAAATTAATGTAAGATTAAGCTGAATTTAATATGAAATTAATGCATTAATTATAATTATTAATTAAAATATTTATTCATATTATTAATTTAGTAAATTTTCGATTTTAATTACAGTACCTATCGTGGCTATGTGCAAACAAAAGATGTATACGTGCAAGCAACATCGAAATCGCCAATGTTTGGAATTGATTGCGAAATGTGTAAGACAATCGAAGGAATGTCGGAGTTGACAAGAATTTCTGTAGTCGATGAAAAACTTAATGTAAGTTCAATATTTTTCTTTCTTTTATTTTTCTATTCATTTTTTATTATTTTTCATCAATTATTCTTAATCCAAAGTGAATTTTACAACGATTTAGAAGAAAAAATGTTTTTCCCTCAAATTTTGTTATAAAAAAAAAATGTTTAAAATATTAGATCAAGAATTTGAAAAATAAAAATTTATAGACTGAAAATATTGGTTTTAGCGTAAAAAATATTTTTTCTTTCAATCGTTGATTAAACTAACGATTGAAATAAATTTTTTCTTTATTAATCTTTCGAATAATTTGAGACAGATTTTTGTTAATTTAATAAATAATTTTATTTAATGCATAATATTTATGTGAATTTCTAATTAAAGGTCGTTTACAATACGCTAGTGAAACCAGAGAATGAAATTACGGATTATTTAACAAGATTCAGTGGAATAACGAAAAAAATGATGGACGGCGTAACGACAACTCTAACCGATGTTCAACAAGCACTGAAACTTTTACTTCCTCCAGATGCAATTCTCGTTGGACAAAGTTTGAATTTCGATCTACACGCTCTGAAAATGATGCATCCTTACATCATCGACACTGGAGTAATTTTTAACATCAGTGGCATAAGGTATTTTTTTTATTCATTTTATTATATATTTTCTTTTTTATTATTTTATTATTTGTTTTATTTATTATTTTATTATTTGTTTTATTTATTATTTTATTATTTGTCTTATTTATTATTTTATTATTTTTTTATTTATTATTTATTCTTCTTTCCATATTTTCACAAAACCAATTTTTTTTTCTCCGAATAAAAATCGCATTGATTATTTTCTAGGTATCGGAAATCGAAATTACAGACATTAGCCAGGGAATTTTTGGGACTGAGAATCCAGGAGGGTTCACACGGTCACGATTCGATTGAAGACGCCGCGGCGTCAATGAAATTGGCGCAATTAAAACTTGCCAATAGTATTGTTTTTGGAGACGCGGTACTTCATTGTCAACATCAAATTGGCGAAATGCTGTTTGCCGAACACCAAACTGAACAAAGTCGTAATTTCGATTCGAAAATTCAGACAAAGACAAATATTCGTAAATATGGAACATGTTTATTTAATCACGTGGCGAAGGATAAGAAAACAACGGCTATAATTGGTTCCGACGAAGTGATAAGCGAATATTCACGATATTTAAAATCGCCTGAACTCAGTGTTACGAATGACAACGATTTCGACAAAAATGATCAGGTAATATTTCATTACATAATCGCATTTTGATTACATGGATAATTCTAAATTCTTTTTCATCAAAAATGAAATGAAATATAATAAAATAAATAAATATGTAAATAAATTACGATCAATTAGCAAAAAAAAAATGGAAGTTTGAACTTTTTGAGATTTTAAAATTCAATGTCACTTCCTCCTTTCATTTTTCTATTGAAGAAAAAAAGCGCATACGGCATATTGCTTAAAATTGATGGAAAATGATTGCATAAAAAAAATGACAGATTGAAGATTATTGGAATTCCTTAAAAGAAATGAAAGTTATGATAATAGTGATAATTAGGAAAAATTTGAACTTCAATTTTAAAGTTTTTCACATAAATTCAAACTTTTAATGAAATGGAAAAATTCTCCGTAACCTTGGAATTATTGATTCATTTTCTGTATCTAATGAATATTGTTAATTTCAAAAGTAAAGAAATCAAAGGAGGAAGCAATTGAAAAGAATCTAGAGGTCTTCCACTTTCATTTCCTCAAATTTAATTTTTTCATGGCACAATTCTAATGAATAAATTTTTTCTCTCTTGTAACTATTCATCTTCAATGTCGATTTTAATATGAATATTATTATTATTAATAATTCGAATAATAATATTTACTTTTTGTCAAAACTATTTTAGTCCTTTTATTAAAAAATTATTTAAAAAAGAAACAATAATTATTTTAATTATTTTTTAAATTAATTTACAACTTTAATTTCTATATTTTCAATTTCTTCAATTTGTTTAATGAAAAAAAATGTTTGATCTTAGATTCGTATGGTTGAAACGGAAGGAAATAAAAGTGCAATAAATCGAGCGGCTGAAATTGTGATGCAACATGCTTTAACTCTTTGTCATGTGAAAATAAAGGAAGAACAATTGACTGAAGAGCGAAGAGGAAAAATTTTTGACAAAGTGGACAAATGGGTGAATAAAATTTATCAACGTAGTGCACTTCATGGATTGGTGTGTGTTATTTTCGGTGGACATAGTAAAGCTTCAAGTGGAGTTTGTTTCTTGAATGTAAAAGAAGGCGTGGTTCCATTAAGTGCCTAAATTTTTCCAATACAAAAGAAACTAACAAAAAATACAATTATTTGTCTATATTGGAGCCTATATCTTTTATTTAAAAAAAAGACAAAATCGTTTTCTTTTTCAATTATAAGCAAACAAATCGATCTGATTTTTTTTTTAAGGAAATCGAAAGAAAGTTGGTATAGAAAGAAAAAGAAAATAATTGAAAAAACCGATTGGAATGTTTGCTGGTCATGTACAAACAATCGTATTGTTAATAAACTTTTTTTGTAAACTGTTAAAGTGCTTGTAGTGTTTGCACTTAATTTATTTGACTCAAATTTTCGATTTGTTTATTAGGAAAATGTATTAATTAATTAGGTTCTTTTTTGTAAATCTAATTTAACATTTACAATTTGATAGTACTCGTATAGTATAAAAATAAAAACAAAGTGTAAATAATTAAATTAATGTAGAAAATGCAGAAAGGAAAAGAATTGAAGTATTCTCCTTTTTTGTTATCAAATTGTATTAGTTAAATTATATATTTGTTAAAATTATGTTTAATTATGTTTAATTGAGAATTTTTTTTTTTTATTGAAAAAGTACTTTTTTAAAATTGTATATTTTTCTTTATTTGATCAAAGTACTTTATTTCGAAAAGTACACCAGCCCGGCTAGCTCAGTCGGTAGAGCATGAGACTCTTAATCTCAGGGTCGTGGGTTCGAGCCCCACGTTGGGCGATTTTTTTGCCTTTCCTTCTATTTGAATTGCATTTTTTTGCAATTTAATCATTTTGTATAATAAATTTTTTTTTTCAAATTTCATTAATTATAATTTTGATCACAGTTATTATTAGATACTGCAATTATCATAATTAATTATAAAATAAATAAAATAGATTTTTCATTACTATATTTTGTTTTATTTACCAAGAAATTTTGTTAGAGTGTTTTCAATTTATTCGATGATTAATTAATAAGTAGAAATAATAATAATAATAAAAAAATAATAATTCATAATAATTATCCTATTATGAAGTGAGTAAATATGCTAATTAGGGTAAACAAATAATTCTTACCTAAGTTTTCCTGAATAGAGAAAAAAAGAAAAGGGCAAATTTTTCGAGGTACTTCTACCTGGAGAAAGAATTTATTATGTAATTTCCCTCCACAATCCAGGTATATACCTGTCTCCAAAGTTGACCCTCATTAACTGTCCTATTGTTGAAATTTTGTCAATTCCAACGGACGGTCGCTAAATCAGGAAATACCCGACCCACGCCATGTGGCATAATCGGGTTTTTCCAGTTTGTATAGAATTTTATTGAATTTCAAAATAATAATTATTGGAAATTAATTATTCAAGATTTTTTATTTTTTAAATTGAATTTAGCGGGCATTTGATTCTAACGTGTGATTGGTTAGAATTTGACCACGTGATCATTTGCAATTTCAGAGTTGTGCGCATGCTCAGTACTAAAGTGGGGCAGACATTGTACGTCACAGGCATTGTTCGTGACGCTGTAGTGCGACTTTTTTCACATTCTTTCGAGTCAATCGGTAAAAAAGTATTTGTATTTCGGAAAAAATGGATCGGATGCCATATTAGAAGGTCGATTATTAAACAAACGCGGTAAATAAGCTTCATATTTGCAAATTTTTTGCTTGTTGAAAAAGCATAGTCGCGTGGTGTCGCATCCATTTTCATTCTTTTTTTTACGAAACAATCGGTGTTTTTTCTTGAATATCGGTAAATATTTCAATATTTCGCCTAAATGGGGTTCAAATTTGTCAGCTGTGGGCAATTTTTTCGGTTTTTGTCGCAATATCCCCGTGTTAGTGTATCGTCCATTTTATGTGCTATACGTCGGCCATTTTGTTTTCGACTTTCGGAGTTTCGCGTGTACGGATCGTGGGGGTTTTTCATCGACATTATTTACGTGAATCATTCAATATTTAACAACATTTTGAGTAAATTTAGCATCCTCGGGACTAAGGGGACATAAAATTATCGATATTTACAATTATTCCGGTAAAATAGATCATTATTTCCGCTATTATCGGGAACAATCGGAACGCCATCTCTGCGGTGTACAAATAACAAAATTTATTCAGTTTTCATATTTTAACGTCATAATTTACTACTATTTCGTATTATTCGCATATAAAAATTCTCGTCTGGTAAATATTATACGGTTCGCTTGTTTTTTCGGGTGAATATTTTCGAGATGAATTTTCGGAGTTAACCTAACCTCACTTTAGTGACTTTGCTTCCTTTGCTTGCTTTTTGCTCTTTTCGTTCACATGTAAAAAAATATTCAGAATGTAATTAATCTTTTTCGGAAGTGCTCGAAACCTTTGTCTAAAACTCGTGCGTTTATTTATTATTATTTTCCTTGCGTCTATTTCTAATCGTTTAGCTGAAAAGTATAAAAAAGTGGGCAGTGTTTTTATTTTTTTTGTGAGTGATTAATCATCGTTTCTGAAGCGGCTCCAGAATGGAGATGCAGTTTTTGGTGAGTATTTTTTTTTACTATTCTCGTTAAAAAATATTTCAATTATTTTAGAATTCCTTCGAGATAATTATTAAGATTGTTTTTTTATTATTTTTTATACTAATTTCTTATAATTTTGTTTGTAATATAATTTACGAAATTTTTCATTTTTTTTTGCAAAGTAAACAATTGACAGTTGTAATATTCTGAAAATAAATTACAAATACAATATTAATGGCTATTTTTAAATTATTTCAGTGTCTGAAGGTCGGGAGGATGCAGGTAAAAGTCGTCGTAGTTCTTTGATGCAGGCAAGGATTTCCGAGGGCTGATTCAACGGAGGTAAAAATGCAGCAATCGCTTCGACAAGGGTATCAACAATCGGTTAGTGTTTTATTTTTTCTGGTAAAACAACAACAACAACAACACGGTTTTAACGATTTTTGAAACAAAATTATATTGCAAATACACTTGCAATATTATAGGGAGATAATTCCAATTTTTCTAAATTTGCCGGAATTATTATAAACTCCGTCCCCAGTGTTTCTATTCATTGCCTTTTCGTTTCGTCGAAATTCTTTGAGACAAAAAAATTGTCTGTTCGCCCCAAAAATAATTGTTTACAAGAATCGACCTGTCAATTTTTCCGTCCCCAGTGTTTCTATTCATTGTCTTTTCGTTTCGTCGAAGTTCTTTGAGACAAAAAATTGTCTCTTCGCCTTAAAAATAATTGTTTACAAGAACCTGTCAATTTTTGACTACTTTTTCATATTTCCGAAATTTAGTTCTTTGAAAAGAAAAATCTGTTGACTTTTCTATTGTTATATAGTTGTATCGAGCTTATTTAACAATTAGTGGAAAATGAGTACTTTTTCCATTAAATGAATCATGCGGTGGATTCTTGAAGCATGACTAAAAACAAAAGTTTTGCGAAATAATGAGAATTGAAAAAATGAGTTTACCATGAGAGAGGTAAACGATAAACGATGTAAATGGTCAGATTCATGTGAAACATTATAAATATAAGTATATAAACGTGTGTACTTCTTTGTGGGCCCCTCTTGTCTTTAACGATGGAAGCGAACTTCAGTAGTGGACCAGCATGAAAGAAGCGGGACTTTCAGTTTCTTTTGAGGTTCCGCGGGTGCAAGACAAGAGCGAGCGCAATAGGCGCGCGTTTATAATATACACGTGAAAGTTTTACTCAGCATTTAATCCTTGTGTATACATATATATAAAAATTATACACAGAAAATTATTGTAGGTATACGCGATTTTTTTTCCACACGTTATATATAGGCAAAATCATTTTATATTGTGTGTTAATGTGAGTGGATGTCTAGGAGAGTGCAATTTTAAGTGCATAATTTGTGATTTTAATGATAGTCTCTCTCTCTGTCTGTAATCAAAGGTCAAAGAGGATTTTATTAATATTTCAATGAGAGGAAAGCTGTTACATCCGTTAGTTAATTTTTAAAAAATAGAGGGAAATTTTTTTTTTTGCACGAGTGTATATTTTATCTCATAACAGAAATTAATTTTCATATATTTTAGTTCTATAATTATTACGTAATCAGTTTTTTTTCGAAGGAAACTATCTCCTTTTCCTTTTAATTACAAAATCTCGAACACTTCCGAAGTAATTAGGTTTTTTTTGGTTTTGTTTGGAAAAAAAAGAATATTCTCCAGGAAGGTGTTTTTGTCTTTTTATGGACGATTAATTCTTTATACGGCAATTTTGATTTCATAATTACAATTAAGTCAGTGTGTAAAGTTGAAGTTAATTATTATTCTTTTTCATTTAATTACAAGGCGTTACATAGTAAAGCAATTAGATTTTTGATGAATAATAATTAATTTAATTACACAATGAAAGAAATTAATTTTAATGAATTATTTGACACTTTTTGAAACAAGAGAAATTTTCACATTTTAATAAACAGGGGAATTAATTATTTCATTAAATTTATTGGTACTTTTTATTGAAAAACTATTTTTCCTTTCATTTAGTTTTTATTTACTGTTTTCATTTATTATTTATATTAATACTTCAATTAATTAATTAATTAATAATTTAATTTACATTTATTATTTTTATTTCATTTATTGCTTTCAATTATTATTTTTATTTTTTTTAATTACGTATCTCATTTTTATTTATTATTTTCATTGAATTTATTATTTATATTTTTCACTTTTATTTATTATTTACATTCACTATTTCTATTTATTATCCACGTTTAATATTTTTATTTATTTTTATTTATTATTTTCATTTTATTGCGCAAAAATGTTTAAATTATAAATTATAAAATTAACAATAAAGTAAATTTATGATTTTCTTTAAAGTTAAACATTTTTCTTATATAATAAAAAATTATATTTAAGAGTAAGAAAAAAATAAACATAACATATATTATGTAAGTTTATTTTTATGTGAAAATTTCTAAATTTGTAACACATTTCTAAATTGTAGAATATAATAAAATTAGGTAAAAAATAATTGCACATCAATTATTTATAATTTTGTTAAAGTTGATTAGTTTAAAGAATAATTTTTAAAAACTTAAATGAAATTTTAATTTCTTTCGTGTGAGTATTTTTTTTTTTTTATTTTTAGATGTTGTATTATTAATAAGAGAATTATGCTGTGGAATTACCAGCATTTCATGAAAGAAATATGTAATGCTGATAAATTTTTGCATAAGTTAAATGAACGATGCACTATACTGAGAATAAAAGTTTTTCAATATTTAAATATTTTTGTAATTTTAATAATTGTTATTTATTTATTTTCATATTATCTTTTTATTTGGAAGAAAAGTTAAATTTTTTATTTATTCTTTTTGTTTATTAAATTATTAACAAATTGCTTAGAAATATTTATTTATAAATATAAGAAAAATATATTATTATAGTTATTGATTAATATTAATTTTTGTTACTTTCAATAAATAAATAAATAAATGAATCGTTATAATTTATTATAATTACAATTATTTATACAACTATTAATATAGTTTATTAATATTAATTATTATACTGTAATTATTAATTATTTATTAATTATTAGTACAATTTATTAATATTAATTATTGTACTATAATTATTTGTTTATTGAAATAATTTATTAATATTATAATTATTATACTATTATAATTATACTAGTATGAAAATAAATTTTTGTGTACATAAAGTAGTCAATTTAAATTTAAATAGTATAAATTTTTGTTTTTAGTATAAGTAAAAATGTACTGAACTTTTAATTAATTTAATAAAGATTCTGTAACATTTTTGCTAAGAAAAAAACTTTATTCTCTGTCTACTGAAATCGTAAATTTAATTATAAATTTTTGTTAATATTAATTTAGTTAAAAAATAATAGTAAACGAATTTTCAGTAAAGTTAATTTCTTTGTAAATTAAAATTAAATTAATTAAATTATTTATTTGTAAATTCGTTTATTTACAGATTAGTTTATTTATAAATTAATTAACAGCAGATTAAATTAAAAATAAAAAACAAAAATATTGATATTATTGTAAACTTGTTTATTTATAAATTATTCAACAGAAGATAAGTTAAAAATGAAAAAAGTGAAAATAATATATATTTTTAGCAAATTAGTTTATTTATAAATTAATTATCAGTTGGTAAATTAAAAATAAAAAAACAAACAATAATGTCGATTTTTTGTAAATTAGTTTATTTATAAAATTATAAATTTATTAACAGCAAATAAAATAATAAAAAACTGACAATAATATTGATATTGCAAATAATTTTGTAAATTAGTTTATTTATAAATATATTAACAGCAAATAAAATAATAAAAAGTTGACAATAATATCGATATTCATGTAAATAATTTTGTAAATTAGTTTTTTTGTGAAGAGGTAAATTAGAAAAAAAGAACAGTAAGAATAATATTTACTTATTTGTAAATTATTTATTTAGAGTAAAACTAATAAATTTAATAAACTAATAAATTAGTTTATTTATAAATTAAATAATTTTTTAATATTGAATAAAATATTGACAGCGAGTAAATTAAAAACAAAAAAACAGTGAAAATACTATCTCCTTTTTTGTAAATTAGTTTCGTAAATGAGTTTTTTTTTTGTAGATTAGTTAACAGCAGATAAATGAGAATAAAAATACAGTGGAAATAATTTCTATTTTTTTGAAACTTTCACGGGAGCGTTAGTCATTTTTCTTATTTTTTTTTTTGAAATTCAAAGTAGGAATTTAAAGTTTTTTTTCTGGCTCTATTGTTTGCAGATTATTTCTTTTATTATTCATCATTGGTATAGGATATATATATATATATTGTAATAGTCGAAAAACTTTCATAATTTCTTCAAACAAAATTCGTCGACGGTTGACGTTGTCATACTTTTTTTTTCTTTTTTTTTTCTCAACACCTTTCGTCAACTGATTTGAAAGTAGTCAGTGAATTCGAAATACGAGTATGTGTCTACTTACGCGTATACCCTCAGTCTATAATCGAGGGTTGCGAAATTACCTGTCGTTGCCATGAGCCCGGGGCTCGCCCATACGTCATATATACTATCGAAGGACAAATATATTTTGATCCATACAAACACATGCACACACACACACTCATTTCAGTTGAGAATAATAAAAATCTGCGATTCTCTTAATCTACCTCAATATTCCGGGTTCTGTCTTTTTTTGTAGCAAAAAAAAAGACGAGAAAAAAAAATTACTTCATCTTCAAAATATGTTGATTTATATTTAGCTTTTTATTTTTACTCGCAAGTAAAGCCAAATGGAATCCAAAAAGAATCGTTTCGTTCGTAAAACTTGTTCCTTTCTGGTATTCAAGAGAGACAAGATTGTATAAATAAATATATATGCGCGCATACAGTTCATTGAAATTCAGGTGTGAGATATGTTTGTTATTTTCTTCTTCTTCTTCTTTTTGCTTTGTTAAAAAAAAAGATTTTACAATGCATGGGGAAAAAAAGTCTTTAAACGTATGCATATTTACGGTCTTTTAAAAAATATTATATATTAATGCTTAAAAGTTTTTTTTTTCCTCTTTTGCAATAAAGAGTATTTTATTACATACTTGAAACTATTTTATTTCACTGTAAACTTTTTTTTCTTTCCATTATAAATTAATTATTAGGAGAGTAAAAAATGTTTTTGTCATAAAATGTAAAATATTTTTTTTTAACATTTATTTATTATTTGTGAAATTTTTAATAATTCATAGAACAGTTTATTTACTGAATAGGTAGGAGAGACAATGGTGAATTTTACAAAGTTTATAATCAGCATTTTATGGAAAAACAAATATTTTCCTCTTTAAATTTTTACAAATCTTTGTTAATATACAGCTTTACAGTTTGTTTATA